AGGCTTGGGGAAGTGGCAGGTTTTAAAATAAATTCAGACAAAACCAAAATGTTGGTCAAAAACATGTTTTAGAAAGGTTGTCTGGTTTAAAAATGTTCTGTTAGCCCCAAAATGGAAAGTGAGTGAGGTCCCTTGTAAAGAGGATTGGCTCTAGAATATGATGCTAGAATATGCAGAACTTACAGGCTTAACATGCAGAATAAGAGAGCAAGAAGAACATGTATTTAAAGAAGACTGGAAAATATTGAATATATAGAAAACAATTGTACACAGCTGAAAATGCTGGCAGTATTAAGATAAATTCAACAGAGAAAACAATATTTGATTGATGTACAAGTGGAAAATTGATTTGAATGGTTAAGGAAATTATGCAGGAAAGTACAATATGTAATATGAACTATGAAAGGAGAAGAAGGGAAGTCATTGGATATTTCAAAGTTTGTAAAATGTTTATTCTAAAATATAGAAAATTGAAAACTCAATAAAAATTATTTTTTTTAAATACTGGGCATTCAATTAAGTTTGACTCGGAGTAGACCCACTGAAATGAAACATAATTTAGACATGTTCCAAAATTTAAATAGTTCTAATATGAGAAAACAGTTGAATATCACCCACTACTTCATTTACTTTTGCTAACAATAATCTATCAAGCAGGCTGAAGTTAAATGAGGGTCTTTGTCTGAAAATGCTCAGGCATTTGTGAGAGGCATCAGTTTCAACATGTCCTCAGCCTTTATTTATTCCCTTTACATCTCTTAAGTCTAGATTCCTAGAATCTAGATCACCTGTTCACCAGATGCATATGTCAGGCCTTTCTAGATATGGCTGGAGAGCTACAGAACACTTTGCCTATTTGAAAAAAAATGTTTTTCTGTACATTTTCCACTATGTTCATTAGCAGCCCATGACTTCTGAGTTTGAAATTTCAGGCTGTCCAAACATTAACAATACAGTATTGTGTGCTTAAAGGGTTATTCCAAGATAATATATGCCGCACACATTCTGGATATCAAATGTTGAAATAAATGTTTACATAGGATCAGATAAAACAACATACTAAGGCCATAAAGCTAAAAGCTGGTTGCCTAAAACATCCAGTACATACCTGCCAGCACATGTAGAACATATGTTACATATAAACAAATTGGAGGCAGAATTAATACATGAATATGCTTCTCTTACATATAGAGTAAAAAAAAAATACTACTTATTTTTTTTAAGCATCTATGTGCTACTGAAGAGAAAGAGCTTTTCAATAAAAACTATCAATTGAGCACATCTCAAGATCATTTTAAGCCTACACAGCAGCTTAAATATGTTTTAAAAGTTAATATTTTACTTTTCTCCAGTTCCAGAAAAACACGAAGTCCCAGGTTTCAAAGCCACATTTTTTGGTTACAGTATCATCATAAAAGCACCCAACATTACAGGGATTGACTATGAACATATTTCAGCTTTTAAATACAAATGAGCACCAGCAAGATTGCAACTGAAGATAAGTAAGGAGTTTGTTGAATAGTCAATTCATACCAAAGGGATTCACAGAAAATGTTAAAAATACAAAGCTTCATTTACGTTCTCTTGTGCAATGGTAATAAACACACTGTTGAAAGTGCAAGTCAGAATATGGTTGTGTTACTGATTGCTAAATTAAGCTGCATGCATGCATTAAGTAGAAAGAACTATGTAGAAAGAAATGCTTCCAAATTTGTGCTAGTGCAGGAGAGAAATAATATTGCACTAGGTAAAGTTGTAACGGGTGCAAGCAACAAATACTGTACTAACTAAAACCAAGGGAGTTTTACGTGTTGATTAAATACACTGTAGGGTCATGCAACTATCCATACTACAATGACTTACATAAGTTTCATTCTCTGCATTTAGCTGCAATTCATCTTCTATCAGATCACCAATTTCAGTGAAGAGAAGAGACTCTGTAGGATGTAAATCAACATGAAGGGGAGAGAACATTAAGGCATGCAAGTCAAAGCTGAGCAGGTACTGATAGTCAGTTTTCCTGTTACCCAGAATTGAGAAACCACTAATTCTCTATCCTGCAAGTACTGCAGCGGGTACACATGACTCAAGTGTTTACTATGATTAATTTACTGCTTCCAAAATTCAGGATTATTTTTTATAAAAGATATACACTTGTCCAGGCAGGAACTGTTTACTAAGCAGGCAAAATATACATGACAGAATAACTGTGTTGCAATTTACAGAGGATTATTCTTCAAGCAGTACTCTTTGGGTCAAGTTAAGAGAGAATAAGTGATCTATGACTGACTGGAGACAACAGAATTCAGTGATCAGCATGGAGAGAGAAGGATGAACACCTTTCTTTCCTACATGCCATTTATCAATTTAATTTCACTCCAAAGCTCTCATTTACCATGGGATGATAGGAGACATATAGACACAAGAACGAACACTTCAGTGCCAATAAGTTTTAAAAGAGACCTGAGGAGGCTTAAACAGATTGTCAGAATCAACAAGAGAATGTTCATGTACGAAGTTTACTTCAAATAGATTCCACTGATTTTTTAGAAACATTTAATTGCAAGTAAAGATGTTCAGGATTGCAGTCTTAATTCCACCCCCACTCCAAAAGCCAGTATATTGACTATGTAAACCAAAGAAAGATGCCTTGCGGGCCTAAGTAGCATATTATCCCTCAGAACCCGCTTCTAATACCTGCTTACGTGTGTATGTGTGTCTGTTGGGGGGGGGGTTATGAGGCAATTCATATGAAAGAATATAGGTAAAGGTAAAGGGACCCCTGACCATTAGGTCCAGTTGTGGGGTTGCGGCGCTCATCTCGCTTTATTGGCCGAGGGAGCCGGTGTACAGCTTCCGGGTCATGTGGCCAGCAGGACTAAGCCACTTCTGGTAAACCAGAGCAGCGCACGGAAACGCCGTTTACCTTCCCGCCAGAGCGGTACCTATTTATCTACTTGCACTTTGACGTGCTTTTGAACAGCTAGGTTGGCAGGAGCAGGGACCGAGCAACGGGAGCTCACCCCGTCGCAGGGATTTGAACTGCCGACCTTCTTATCAGCAAGTCCTAGGCTCTGTGGTTTAACCCACAGCGCCACCCGCGTCCATGAAAGCATATACGTAAGCACTAATGTAAGAACATAAGAATAGGCAGCGGCCTATCTATCTAGTCCAGCATCCCGTACTCACAATGGCCAACCAGATATCTGCCTGTGGGAAACCAGTGAGCAGGATCCATGCACAAGAGCACTCTCCATTCCCATAGTTCCCAGCAACTGGTACTGTATTCAGAAGAAATTGTGGAGGCAGAGCATAGCCATCCTGGTTAGTAGCCACTGCCAGCCCTCTCCTCCAATCCTTTTTCAAAGGCATCCAAGTCTGCCTCCGGTGGGATGGAGTTCCACAGGTTTAACTAGGCACTTCCTTCCCTCTGTCCTGAATCTTTCAACACACCTCTAAGTACTCTGTGCTGTACTTTTATACTGTTTTATTGTTGTTGGCCGCCCTGAGCCCGGCTTCGGCTGAGGAGGGCGGGATATAAATAAAATTTATTATTCTATTATATTATTATTAATGTCAGGTGCTGCACTGGAGCAGGGGATGCCTCTGTCCCTGGGGGAAGGGCGGCACAGGCATTTAATAAGCAAAGCAAGAAGAATAAAAGACTGCGAGGCGAGGGCTCAGGGAAACCGGGCTTATGCCAGCCGGTCACTCTTGAGGCGTTTTGGCGCCTGGGGCGAACCACAAAAGGGCCCCCCCACCCCGCCAGAGGGGAAGTCCACAACAGGAGCCAAGCCAGGAGGAAGCGGACATTTGCCAAGAGGCTGCCCGGGGGAGGCGGCCCTTGACGGGGGCTGGGTCTGCCCCCCCCCGGGTCCCCCCCTGCTCCCGTCCGGCCCTAAACTGCTCCTCACAGGATTGGGGGGGGGGGAGGAGGGAGACACGTCAGGATGGACAGGCAGAAAGAAAATTAGCCGGCAAGCCGAGCTTGGGGTGGGGAGAGAGAGGGGCCGGGCCCCGTCCCCGCGGCCCCCTCAGCTGCCCCGCCGGGCGCGCCTTACCCCACTCGCCGCCCGGCTCCCCCGGCTCCCAGCCGGCCACGGCCGCCGCCATCTCGCTTCGCCGCCCGCTTCCGGGATGGCGCGCACAGCTCGTGGGATTCCAGTCACACACGTGTACTTCCTGTCAGCGAGGCGCCCCGCCTCCCACGGCCAGGCCCGGCGGCCCCAAGGCGGACGGAGGGAGGGAGGCAGGGAGGGAGTCCGCCGGAGACTTCCAGGCGCTGCCTCGTGCGGGCTTTCCGGCGTGCGAACCGGTTCGCCATCAACACGTTGAATAAGAAGCCGAGCCGCTCTCCCCCTCGAAGGGCCGGCGCTTCGCTCTGGCCTCTTGCAGATCCCCCCGCAGCCCCGCGCTTCCAAAACAACAGCGCATAAAATCCTCCTCCCCCTTCGTGTCCCAACCTTCTTTTGCCGTCCACCCCTTTCCTGGGAGGTTTTCCAGCAGAGCTTGGATGGCCATCTGTCAGGGATGCTGTCGCTGAAATTCCTGCATTGCAGGGGGTTGGACTAGATGACCCCTGGCTCCCTTCCAACTCTAAGATTCCATGATTCTATGAAATGGATCTGAACTAGTGACAGCCACCCACCAGTTTCATATTCAAAACTGCTTCCCACCCCAACCCCTTCTTGATTACTATATATAAATAATACACTAAAGTAGACAAATAATAACTTACAAAAAGGATCAATAAATGTCTATAAACCTTGATCAGAATCCCATGTCAGGTTTTCTTTTGTGAATGAAATAAAATGGTTTTAACCAGTTTTTAATAGCCAAGAATCCAATGTAGAGCTTGGGGTACATTGAAATGTAATACTGGACAGATTACTACAGGGTGTGGAGAGGGGTTATTTGAACTATGAAGTGAGAAACAGCAGCCGTAGTCGAGGCCAGAAGTGCTTTTCCTTGGTGACCCCACCATGTTGAAAAAGGGGGGGCCAGAAATGCACCGGGCTGGATGAAGCCAGCTCGAGATCTTTTCTAAATAAATGGAATAAAACAGCTTAACCTACTGAAATATAGATCTGAAAAGTGAAGGTTAAGGGGAACAATGCCCCTTATTAAGCAAGGTAGCTAAAGTAAGGGGGTCATGTCCTCCATTGTGACACGTCCCCCTGCTGAGTGACTTGGCTGAGCACTTTGGGAAGAGCAACCATTTGAGGATAGCTAGTGAGGAAGAGCAGAGCAAGATGCTGAGAGAGAGAATTCAAAGACTCTCTTCGTCAAAAGTGTAAGTAGGATTTCTCCTTTCTGAAACGTAGGGGAGGTTTAGCTGCCAGGTGCCCCAAATCCAGCACAGAGATCTCTAGAACCCATTTCCTCATTGTTTCCTCTTCTTCCCTAGGTTCCGAAGTCTGAGGAGGCTCCGCGGGCTGCTGGTCTCCTGCTGCCGGTTGCCCAAGATACATCCCCTGGTCTGCCAGAAGGAGGAAGGAGATGAGTGGAAGGAGGAGGTCAACATCATGAAGGACGGAAAGGAGGAGAAGGTGAAGATAAGATCAATTTTTGTGAGACCATGCGACCAGGGGATGGAGTCCACCGATAACAACGTGGATGGTGAGTGCTGATCTTTCTTCCTCAGGAACAGGGAGACCAGAGAAAATCTGGCAGTGGGGTGGAGGGTGCAGAAAGATGGGTTATCAGCATAAGAATCAATTAAAATATTAAGAATCCTTTCTCTTCTTTTCTCTTCCAGGCAACGGCAGCAGTGAGACCAGCAGCTCGAGCGGAGCTCTTACCCCCCCTCCCACGCCCAGTTCCCCCCTCCCCACAATTCCAAGTAAATAAAGAAAGAAATTTGAAAACTCAGTACATAACAGGATTTAAATAAAGTTTGGAATACAAATATACTAGTCTTTGATCATGTTTTTATCCCCGGGGGTTCTTTTTCCCAACAGTTGTGAGGATGGGCAAGAAAGTTACTTGCCCAAAAATGGAAAGAAGAAGAATACGTCTCAGCGAAAGAAGAATGGATACAAAAACTTATGGAACATGCCGAAATGGCGAAACTTACCGGGAAAATAAGAAAGCAAGATAACCAACTGTTTATAAAAGGATGGAAATTGTTTATTGGAGATTTACAAATAAACTGTAAACGGATAAAAACATTGTAATAACCTGCAGTTTTATAAGAGTATACAGTGGTACCTCGGGTTACATACGCTTCAGGTTACAGACACTTCAGGTTACAGACTCCGCTAACCCAGAAATATTACCTCGGGTTAAGAACTTTGCTTCAGGATGAAAACAGAAATCATGCTCTGGTGGCGCAGCGGCAGCAGGAGACCCATTAGCTAAAGTGGTGCTTCAGGTTAAGAACAGTTTCGGGTTAAGCATGGACCTCCGGAACGAATTAAGTTCTTAACCCGAGGTACCACTGTATATATTTAAAGTACTTGAATAGATGAACAAATTCATTCATTTGGATATGCAGAAAACATTAAAAAAAATTAAGGAACAGCAGAAAGGGGGAAGGAAGTCGAGTTTTGAAATGTTAAAATGATTGTAAAATTACTGGAATGTATCAAACTGAAAATCATAAACTATAAAGAAGAGAAGGGCAGGGCAGTGAGAGATCACCAGCCTTCCTGTCCGCATTCACCTGCACACCCACCTTGCCAGCGGAAGCCTCCCAAGTGGGAGGGGAATTCTCTCCAGGGGCACCCCGTACCCAGGCCCGGCCAGTGGAGTCAAGGGCAGCACCTCAAGATCCCATGCTGGCGCAGCACAGATGAGATGACTGTGAAACCATTCAGATAGCGTCATCGAAAAAGAAGGAAGGAAGGAAGGAAGGAACAAAAAAAGGAGGGGTAGAGAGAGGACAGAGAGTCAGGTTGTCCCAGAAAAAGGCACATGAGGAATACAAACGGATGGATAGCCAAAGCTACAGTGGTACCTCGGGTTACATACGCTTCAGGTTACATATGCTTCAGGTTACAGACTCCGCTATCCCAGAAATATTACCTCGGGTTAAGAACTTTGCTTCAGGATGAGAACAGAAATCATGCTCTGGTGGCGCAGCGGCAGCAGGAGACCCATTAGCTAAAGTGGTGCTTCAGGTTAAGAACAGTTTCGGGTTAAGCATGGACCTCCGGAATGAATTACCGTATTTTTCGCTCTATAAGACGCACCAGACCACAAGACACACCTAGTTTTTGGAGGAGGAAAACAAGAAAAAAAATATTCTGAATCTCAGAAGCCAGAACAGCAAGAGGGATCACCGCGCAGTGAAAGCAGCAATCCCTCTCGCTCTTCTGGCTTCTGGGATAGCTGCGCAGCCTGCATTCGCTCCATAAGATGCACACACATTTCCCCTTACCTTTTAGGAGGGAAAAAGTGAGTCTTATAGAGCAAAAAATACGGTAAGTTCTTAACCCGAGGTATCACTGTATTTTAATACGAACCTCCCCTATTTTCTGTCCGACTCTTCAGGCAGAGAAAAATGCAATAGGGAGGGGTGGAGCCATGTGGCGGAGTATTCTTTATTTTTTATTTACAAGCGAGGAGGTGAGAGGGGGTTTGTCTCCTTTGGTCGGGCAATAACCGCGCCCCGCCTTTATGAGCGCCATCAGCGATCCTTTCCTTGCGTCTGCACCCCTCTCAAATTCAGACATTTGAGAAGGAGCATCATAAACCATATGCCCTCTGCGTCTCCCCTCAGCCCTCACGGCAAGGCTGTCCCCGGCATCGGTTCCTGCCGAAACAGCAATAAAGAAGCGGAAGCAGCAGCAGGAGGAGGAGGAGGGTGGGAGTGGGGGGAAATTTTCCCGCTCGCCTAATGCAGCCCAGCCGTCTGCACCAGCAACAGCAGCGGCAACAGCGCCTCTCGCCGCCGCCATCTTCCGGGCTACCTGAGAGGGCAGGGTGGGGCGCTCCAACGGGCTCTGCTGCGCTTGGCTGCATAAGTTCAGGGGCAAACATTGGAGTCCGGGGAGAAGTCCTGCTTGGCAGGGGGTTGGACTCGATGGCCCTTGTGGTCTATTCCAACTCTATGATTCTATGATTCTAAGGGAGCGTGGGGCGTGATTGACAGGCCCCGCAGCTCACCACGAGGTCGGAGGAGCGGACGAGTGGAGAGGCCGCAGCCAGGCCTGCTGAGGTTCAGCCCAAGCGCCTATCAGCTGCTCCAGGAGGCTGTGAGTGACGAGGGGACAGGGAGCGAGTGGAGTTTGGGTGTGTGCTGCTCGCTGCCTGGGGCTCGCCTTGCGCGCACAAACATTGTCAAAGCTGCCGACGCCATAACAGCCACCACTCTCTGGGAACAAATCCGGGGACATTAATTAGAATCCAGGGACATTCCGGGGACAGATTTTGTCCTGGGACTGTCCCCGGCAATGAGGGACGTCTGGTAACGGCTCATTATATTCCTGGAATCGTAGATCTGGAAGGGACCCCAAGGATCATCTAGTAGTCCAGATCCCTGCAACACAGCAATCTCAGGTAACGTATCCCTGACAGATGGCCATCCAATCTCTGCTTAAAATCCTCCAAGGAAGGCGAGTCCAAGGGAGACCGCTCCAGAGTTGACAGGCTCTTGCCATGAGAAAGTTCTTCCTGATGTTTAGCCGGATTCTCTTTTCTTGTAACTTGTTTCCATGGATTTGGGTCCAAGCGTCCAGGGCAGAAGAAAACAAGGCCACCCAGTGATTTGCACCCTGGTTTCCCAGGTCTTAGTCAAGATTCCGGAAACCTGTGTAAATTGATCCATATTCATGACACCCACCCATTCGTTCCACAATCAAAGCTGATTCCCACCTCACCCCCTTATTGATTACTATAAACTATATATACTATATATAATAATACATTAAAGTGGACAAATAATGTTAAAATTAAATCACTAAACGTGTCACGCATTGTCTGAAAACCTTTATCATAATCAGATTTTCTTTTGTGAATGAAATAAAATTCTTTCAAATAGTTTTTTAATGTTGGCATTTGTCTGTCTCGAGAAGCAATGGAGTGTCCCTCCGGGGGTGAGGTAAAAAGTCAATTGTTTTAGCAGTACCTAAGTGACCTCTCTAGGGAGCAAGCCTGGGCAGCGTGTCTTGAGGTCCTGGGCTGCCCAGATGACAAGACTTGGCCTTGCAGATGTGTCTCCAAGGAAAGCAGAGTTAGGCACCAGTTGGGCTGCAGGAGTTGTCAGAAGGGGTTGTAAACAGCGCCATACAACCGCCTGAGGGACTCCAGTCCAGATTTGTGTAGGGTTTACTCCTTAGCCTTCGGCTTCCGAAGATATAATGTTTCCTAATGAGACTGGACTGTTCTTCCCAAAATCATGGTACATGAGACCAGAACGAGCTCCAGAAGCTTTAGTGAGAGTTTACTGAAAATATCTTCAAAATTCTCTGTCCCCGGAAGTAAAACATTTCATTATCTATATAATGAACACCCTAAGCATGGACATTTTTACCTTGAGGATCACAGCCTTGATGGATGGAACAGAACAAGCAGGGACCGCGCACCCAGTGTCTCACTATAGCCCCAAGGGAAAGCGGGAAGTGTACTTTCAGGTGCACAGGGTGGGGCTGTGGGGGTGGTAGAGAGACTACAGATTTATCCACACCAGAGTTTACTCTTTGTAGCACTTTGCATTCCCATTAATTTGTATAGTCACATGACGTTACTCCCAAGCAACACCAATCTTGGTTCTTTCTCTCTGTAAATTTTGATCCACCCAATTTAGAAATAATCTGAGAAATGAGAAATTGGTCTCAGGGTTGCAGATGGTTTGTTTGGGGTTGGTGGATCAATTGTTATTTTCTGCTATTCCCTGCTACTTCATCGGGGCTGTCTTTTTCAACGGTGCTTGTCACTGTACCTCTCCTCTCTCAGGTACCCTAGACTGACATCTCAAGGTATACAACTGAATGCAATGTGATGAGCCCACAAATTGGCATGATCCAGTGGTTATCCTTTCAACCAAGTGGAAACATGTGCATCTGTGTCAATTTGATTAAACTGAAAACAGATGTTGAAAGAGATGCAGTAGACAGAGCCATAGCTATGGAGGGGCTAGCCGGAGCGGAGGGGGGGTTGCCTCCAAAGGGGCACCATTGTGGCTCCCAGCCTGTGTGTGTGTGTGTGTGCGCAAATGTGCAAGGGGGGGTGCCAAACTGGGTCTTTGACCCTGGTGAAATAAAGCCTAGTTTTGCCCCTGCAGGAAAACCCAACCAGTCACTAGAGAAACAGAATCCCATCTTCCTCACCACAGAGGATGGCTTTGTAGAAATACATCAAAATTTCATGCACTCCATAAAGAAAGCAAGGTAAAAAATAGGGAGAGAGAAATAATCCATCCTATTTATAACGGGAAGGTAAACGGCGTTTCCGTGTGCTGCGCTGGTGCTGGCTCGCCAGAGCAGCTTCGTCACGCTGGCCACGTGACCCGGAAGTGTCTCCGGACAGCGCTGGCTCCTGGCCTCTTAAGTGAGATGAGCGCACAACCCTAGAATCGGACACGACTGGCCCGCACAGGCAGGGGTACCTTTACCTTTACCTATATTCATATACAACAAGCAAGATCAAGACCTCACCTGGAGTACTGTGTCCAGTTCTGGGCACCACAGTTCAAGAAGGACACTGACAAACTGGAACGTGTCCAGAGGAGGGCAACCAAAATGGTCAAAGGCCTGGAAACGATGCCTTATGAGGAACGGCTAAGGGAGCTGGGCATGTTTAGCCTGGAGAAGAGGAGGTTAAGGGGTGATATGATAGCCATGTTCAAATATATAAAAGGATGTCACATAGAGGAGGGAGAAAGGTTGTTTTCTGCTGCTCCAGAGAAGCGGACACGGAGCAATGGATCCAAACTACAAGAAAGAAGATTCCACCTAAACATTAGGAAGAACTTCCTGCCAGTAAGAGCTGTTCGACAGTGGAATTTGCTGCCAAGGAGTGTGGTGGAGTCTCCTTCTTTGGAGGTCTTTAAGCAGAGGCTTGACAACCATATGTCAGGAGTGCTCTGATGGTGTTTCCTGCTTGGCAGGGGGTTGGACTCGATGGCCCTTGTGGCCTCTTCCAACTCTATGATTCTATGATTCTATATAATAACAAATCAGATTTCTTCCCTAGATATTTACAGTGTTCTCAGTGATGCTGTTTTCCACTTCCATTTTTTGTCATGTTGAGAAGAGGGTCGAGAGATGTGCAGGAGCACACCTCAATGCCGAATATCTGAACAGAGGAGAGTCGCCTGGGCGAAGTGACCTCCTAAAATCCCGGGGTGAGGCCAGGAAAGCTTGGCGAATCCCCAGCAGGGCCTTAAACGAGCTCCATGTCAAGGCAGTGCAGTGAAATTTTAGCTCTTCAGGCCAAAAACCAAGACTCAGAAATCTTGAGGAATTAAGAAATCTGGTTATGGATTGGCTACAGGCCACAGGTACATCAGATTAATGAACTGTTTAAGATAGATAGGAAAAATGGCTTTGCAGAACAAAAGTCTCAGTTTATCAAAGACTTATTAGATACAAATATAAAAGTATAATAAAAAATGTACAAACTGCTGTTGGAGTGGCAAACTAAAGAGGAATTTGTGAAATTGAGCATGACTTAGCGGACAAAAGATGTGGGTCACTGTATTGATTATGAAATATGAATTTTACAGCATGTTATGTGACAAAAGAAAATACCATGAAAATGTCCCACAAATGGTATTTAACACCCATCAGATTGGTGAAAATGTCTAAAAAAGAAAAAGGTATATATGGGAAGTGTAATTAAATTGTGGGATCTTTTATTAATATGTGGTGGTCCTGTAAAATAATTAAGGAATATTGGGAAACTATATATAATGAATTTGAAAAGATATTTTAGAAACTTTCCCCAAAACACCTGAGATTTTCCTCTTGGGGATAGTAACAATGGAGGTCCCCAAAAAACAAAAGAGTTTATTACTACACGCCACTGCCACATCTAGAACCTTATTGGCACAAAGGTGGAGAACAAGCATAGTCCCCAGTAAGGAAGAATGACAGTGTAAAATGTTCGAATATGCTGAACTGGTTGGTCTGACGAACAGGCTAAGAGAAAATGCAGATAAGGAATATAAAGAGGAATGGATAATGTTTATTGACTATTTCAAGAACCAGTATAGACAGATACATAGCTTAGCAGGTCTCAAGTAAATCCAGCAGCGTTGAAATAGATGGAGTATTTAATAGATAACAAATTGGATGATTTAAAATGTGGCTTATGCGGAGTAGTAAAAAAGCAAAGGAACCAGGAAAAGCGAGGAAGGGAAGTCATATGGTCTATGTATATATGCTGTATTTGGTACGAAGTTGTAAGTGGGACTGGGAAGGGGAGGGGGGTTAAATATGCTCTCTGTTCCTCTTTTTGAAAATGCAAAAAAGAGGGGAAAAGATGCTGTTTTCCAGTGTCTTGGTGCACCAATGCATAAAACCCACATGGCCCCTTTCTCAATAAACAAGTAATGTAAGGGTTCAGAATCGGGGCGACACCGCCCTTTGTCTCTCCTGCTAGCTCCACACACCTACGGATCATGTCTCTCACTTTCTTCTCCCAGCTCTGTTGATGGGTATTTTTGGATTCATCTATTTGCAGTATTATTATACTGCAAAATGTACTTAACCAGGTGCTGTGTATGGTCTTCTGATATTAGTTCTTTGAACTGTTCTCTCTCTGGGAGGGTCAGATTTATTTAATACTAGACAGTTAATAATATGTTGTTTGCAAATACTGAAAGAAATGAGGGATTTGTCTCAGTTCAGTAATAAGAAGACTTCAAAATTCTATCTTTAAATAACTTTATCCACTAAATCAATTCACTTTCTCTCTGTAACTGCAAATGACTTAGCACACGTTTGTCTTTTGATTTCTCATTATAACATATAGCTGTCAGTGTTGAGAATTCTGAGCTCAATATTCTTCTGTATCTATGCCAAATATTAAAATAGCTTTGGTGCAATTGTTTGTTTTAATCATGTCTCTTATTAGATGTGCTACTCTGCCTACTGATATATTTAAGATCTATTGATCTATTGTGCTCTAGTATCAGAGCACAGTATCTATTGGAAAAATCCCAAGAATGTTGAGGGGGAGAAACATTAAAGATAAAGGTAAAGGTAAAGGTAAAGGGACCCCTGACAGTCCAGTCGCAGATGACTCTGGGGTTGCGGCGCTCATCTCGCTTTACAAGCCGAGGGAGTCGGCATTTGTCTGCAGACATTACTACATTTTTATTCTGCCATTCCACCGAGAAGCTTGGGGAACCGTACCTAGTTCCCATTTTATCCCAGCAACAAGCCTGTGAGGTAGGTTAGGCTAAGTGTAACAGGCCAACCTCGCCTAATGAGCTTCAGAGCTGAATGAGGATTTGAACCCAAGCAGTGGCATTTGCTTCTTGTGTTTCTATTCTACCTGTGGATATAGCTGGTAGCCAGTGGAAAATTTGCTAAGCTGCCAAGTTTGCCTGTGCTAACAAAGTACACGAAAAGATTTTAAGCTGCCATGTATTCAATGGCACACTAGAAATATTTGACTGCAGTCAATTTACAAGTGCAGAATGTGGTGTGACTGCAGAATTCAGCTTTGGAGCATGTTCTCTTTCATTTGCTTTTAAAAAAAGACGTTCCTGTTCTGAGTGGCAGTTGGCATTTTCCACAGTATAGTTTGTGCCCACAAATTAACAATGTTTTCCTAGTCTGGACAGCAAGGCAAAGGTAGGTTTTACTAGCACGGTATGTGCATATTACATGATCTAGTCATATCTTGGCAGTGATCCCCACGTTTGTTTTAATGTTTGGGTATTATTATTTTTTAAAGGCAGCCTTACAACAGGATCTGAAACCAAGTCTGGGTGAAGAAAGAGAAATCAGTATGTCCAGAAATATTTTACAGCAGCTTTTGACAAAGTTTTTCAGCAACGGCATCTTTGCAAGACCTTTTAATGATAATGGTTGTTAATGTTGAGAGTTGGCAGGAGTCTGACAGCATAAGAAGAATGCAGGTCATCTAAGATAGACAGGTGATGAAGGCAAATGCTGAGACAATTTGAAATCCATTAAACACTACAGTGCGGATGATGACTGGAAGTACGAATGTAAGCAGGACTTGCTGGATCAGGCCAGTAACCCAACTAGTCCAGAATCCTGTTCTCACAGTGGTAGAACAGATGCCTGCAGAAAGCCTGCAAGCAGGACCTGATGACAAGAACACTTCCCTGCCAGCCCATGGTATTCCGAAGCATGAATTTATTCCATCTCCAGCAACCAGGCAGCAGAAGCTCTCACTGACAGTGGTGGCACAGATTAATGAGGTTGCAAGAAAGTCCCATTGCATCAGCACTTTTCTTCCATGGACATGACCCAGATGAGTTCTGTGTGGATACAAATGAAATGTAGGAATACAGCTTACAATCACAGAAATAAGGTAGGTTCTAAAAATGTACATCTCAAGTGTCAAAAGCCAATGTAAAATGGTGTCTGAGACAGTTTGTAAGGAAAGAGGTGGTGTTTCAGGTATTTGGGACCTGAGCCATTTAGGGCTTTAAACATTAACACGAGCACCTTGAATTGGGCCATAAAACAAACCAGCAACCAATGCAGCTATCTGAAAGCAGAAGTTATATGAGAACTAAGTGGAACCCCAGTCAGTAATCTAGCTGCTGCATTTTGGTCCAGTTGAAGTTTCTGAGTAATTTTTGAGCACAACACCACATAGAGGATTAAGCATGCAATGTGGAACCACAGTAATAATCGCACTTCCACCTAACAGTGTAAGAAGAGCAATGCTTTAGCAGGATGAAATTGCCCTGAGACAGAAGCAACCCAGTTCAGTTAGTTGACACACATAAACCAGCCACAAGAGGGCATAAAAGTACTGGCATCCAAAGCATCACATTAATGCAATACAGTGAATTAAAAAGTGTTCTGTAAGGAGTGTAGCACAAGATGCTCAGATTCAGAAAGGAGAACTGGGCTAGTGGGTCTGAAACATATCAAAGCAACACAATGGCAGGCTTACCTTAAAAAGCAGAGCTGAAGCCTGCGTTGGAGAATACACCAGGTGCTCCCAAATCACTGTAAAGGCAATACAAACAGAGGGTTGTTTTTCTAGAGCTGGTGTAGCCTGGAGAACAAAGGGCCCAATGCTCAGAAGGCACTTTTGCTCCATTTCTGTTCCCGCAGGAAGTAATTTTAACTCAGCAAATTACCAGGATGCCCTAGCTCAAGTTTCTTTCTCCCTCACCCCATTTTTGTTTTCCAGAAGAAGAAGAAGAAAACCAGTATCCAATATCAACAAGAAGTATACCCTAAGCAAATTCTATTTGGTATATTGCCAGGCGTAGCAAAATAGCACAAGAAGTAGGACCAAAATTTATAAAAATAGGAACACTTGTGAAATGAAAAAGTCAGCAAGAAGCTATAGACCATACACTGATTGCTGCTGCTGACTTGTGACTGTCTGGTAAGTTTGAAGAAGGTGCAAATTGACTTGAATGTGGGAGCTTGTTATCATTCCAATTCCATCAAGAGCAAAATAATCATGAAAACACATTAAAAAGACCATCTGGATCAGCCCAGCCTGTAATTTGCCTGCCCTTGCAGCAATGTGGCCCTCATGGTACTGACTTTCAGAAGTGTTCATCTTTTCAAATGCTGTTGCCTAAAGTTATGTTTCTGAGTAACAAGAGTTGGTGAGAAAAGCCCCAGAAGTTCAGCCCTTCCTAACTGTAATTTCAGCTATGAAGAACGGTCATTGTACTGAAACAAAAGAAGCCTTGGGGTTGGATAGAGGAACAAGGCTGATGACAGAGGTCATTTGGACAACCGTTCACTTTGGCTTGAATCAGAATCTTGGTTGGCCATATCATGGGAAGTAGAGTACAGTATTTTTCTGCCTGCGAGGCTTGAGGGTGCCAGGACACAGCTGTATCTGAGCTTTCAGATGCTGAATGACTGAGGATGCAATCCATGCACATACAAGGAAGGAAGGAAGCCCCATTTGTCTCAATGGGACTTACTCCCAAGTAAATATGCTTAGGATCATGCTACACATCTTGTTAATTAAAATTGTTTGACCAGATCTGAATGACAGATCTACTCTCTCTGTGTTAATCTTTACCTCTCTTTTCAAAACAGCTTGCGAATCTGTCAGAATGGACTCTGGTACATTAAATCTTATGCCTCATTAAATTATTAGCCATTCTTTTAGAATACTAGAAAAAAGAAGTTGGTCTAATTTCATGTAGTAATTCATAGTACCTGGTATGGTCAAGGAGCCTTTTCTTTTCCCCTGACAGAGTCAAAGTTGCCATTGGATGGTGCAGAGAATTTGAGAGAGAGAGAGAGAGAGAGAAATTCAGTTATTGTCATTTATTTATGTAAGCAGCAGATAATATACCAGTGGTTTGTTCTCAAATACAAAGTAGTGATAGATGAAGTAATTCCATTTGCATTCCGCCACTCCACCAAAAAGCAGAGGGAGTCAGATGGGTTTTTCTTCATACAACAATCCTGAGAGACTGGTTAGACAGAAAATTCCTGGCACAAAATTCCCCATTGAGTTTCACCCCAGTTCCAGATACAGAAATATGTACAGCAAACAATGCTCTGGCCATCCTGTCTATAAAAGATCCTTGGGTAACAAACTTGCAACAAGTCAACTGGTTATATGATTCCCAGACCTCAGTATTAAAACATTTCTTAAATGGAAATGGATACTGCAGCCTCACCCCAAAAAACTCCCCACAACACTATATTTTCCCCCATTGTGAAACATGATAACTAAGGCAGGTGACATTTGGCCTTGCACTCTTGCGTGCAGATGCATCAGTATAGAAATACCTGCATGCATGTCCAGAACAACAACAAAAGTAGAGGTAGTGGAGGTTGGAGGAGGAGGGGATGGGGGGGGGACAGGAGACAACCAACAACAACAACCCCAGATACATTTTGCTAAGCTCTGTTCGCACAGTGAAATAGCAATGAATATTGATGACTGAAAAAAGGGTACGTGTGGAAACTAATGCACACAGAGAGAGAAATCTAATTTCCAGGGTAGGGGAAATAAATGACTTATTTGATATTAGGCCCCATTTGAAAGCACCCATATATCACAAGGTGCATAAGCTGCAGATGTTGCTTGTGGCACAGAATGAACTGTGGTAGCAGAATGCCACTGCACCACTGCGCCACTTCCGAATGTAAGTGGGGAGACATTTTTAAATCCCCAGCCCCACCATGTAAAAAGCTGCCTGCATGTCAAACATATCAGAAATAAGCCTACCACAAAACATCTCTCAAATTTACAACACGAGAGAAGGATTGTTTTTACACGAGAGAGTCAGCCTGGAACAATAAACACACACACACACAGCCTGAAGTGCTATGGAATATAACTTTACAGGCACTTTCTGCATATCTAGCTCCTCAAGAAGATGTTAATCAAACTAAAAAGTTGAAAACATGACCTGGTTGGGGGAAGTAAATAAGTTGGGGCACCTGGGTTTTCTTACCTTTTTTCCTGAAGCGTCTGATAGCCAGAGCGATCAGACTCCCAGAAAGCACGAGGGCAACAGCTGATACTGTGGCTCCACCAGTATAAAGCAGAGCTTTTGTGTAGTAAGGGGCAACATTTTCTGGAATGAATAACAAACCTAACAGTTAGAGATTGAGTCACCTAAGCTTTTCTTAGGTTCTTCATTTCCAGTTCTATGGTCTGGCACCTTCAGCATGACAAATCCAAGTGCTGCAGACTGTGATCAAGACAGAGAGACTTCATGGCAATATAGTCACCTGTATGATGTTCTGTCTTCTCAGAGTCCTTTCCTTCCTGTACAATGTAGGCGTTGGCTCCAGCGGGCCGAGGTTCTGTGGGCCCCCTCAATCTTTTTTTATAAAGGGGGCGGCTGCCTCCATTGCTGAGGCCAAACACAGAACCCCCTCAATGTTCCTCAGAAGATGGTACCTCTGCTGTGCCAGCAGCACTTTGCTCCCCCAGCTATCTAGGTGGATTTAGCTTTACCAGCCAAGACCAGCCTGGACACCATCAGCTGACCCCACAAGCCACCTGCCCCAGACTTTATAAAACCTTTCCATCCAAGAACGCTCATCAACTATCTGTGCAGGTCTTACTTCTAACAAGAATGTTTCACATGTCTGCAGTGCCACCAACTGCAATAGTTCTGCAAATGTACAGAAAACCAAGCTGTCGGTACCACCAACTGGCTACCATCCATGATGCCAGCAGAATATTTCCTTCCTCCTGAGCCCCAGGACAGTTCCGCAACTTTTTTGGGAATTATTTTCTTTTTAAAAAATAAGGGTGCTTCTATGCTAAGCATTTTAGCAGAAACTATTCACAGGAAAATCACAGTCTTTCCAGTTGTGTGGAAAGCCAATCGGTAATTATAGCTTACAGTGGAAGAAGAAGAATTAGATAGGGCTAGAAGCCACCCATCTGGAAGCCCCCTTGAAAAGGGGCTACAGGTGGGGGGCCACTAGGGGCGCATTGGAAGATGGCCGACAATACCATCTCTCCGACCCACACGGGGTAATTAAGAGGCTGTTATGGGAGTAGGCAGCCTCCCTTGTTGCCCCAAGGGAATGGGGAACACTGCCCTTGCCTGCTGTGCCCATAAATCACCCCCAAATTCGAAAGAAGGGGGTGAGGGCACTAGGCAGAATGCCCCCGTGTGGACCTTTGCTCTCCTGGACGCTGTCTCTGATAGCGCACTAGCTGCAGCAATTTGGAATAATTAATTACAAAAGAAGCAAATGCACATATTTCAAGTGAAGAAGGGGAGTGAAGACTGCTAATTTAAGGGACCTAGAATCATAGAATCATAGAATCATAGAATCATAGAATCATAGAGTTGGAAGAGACCACAAGGGCCATCGAGTCCAACCCCCTGCCAAGCAGGAAAGAAGACGACCTCTGCGAAAGAAGACGACGGGTTGGAGCAACAGGAATATTTTACGATGAAGATACACCAAAGGCTGGGTATGTCGGCAACGGGACTGAATGGGGGGGGGGGGAACCTTTTTTACTTTTCTTCTATGTGATTTACCAAGAACCCCTCCTCATTAGAACCGTCGGTTTAACTGACCCAAGCAGGATGATTAAGGTCTGTGCGGAGATAAACTTTAACCAAAAGTATGCTTTATGGAGATCGAGAAGGAATAATAACTTTTAGAACCGCGCAGCAATTAATTCAGAGTCGCCATCTTGCCAAAGGATTTATAGCCGGGAGGAGGAACGGACTTGTTTTCAGACTGCATTCCTGGTGAATCTCCTCAGAGGTTTGAGAAAGGAGGCAGACTGGCGAAGATTAATGACGCTAAGACTGTTTTGATGTATGGAAGTGATGTTATATGGAAAACGTCTGGATATGGCTACTGGATATAAAAAAAAATATCCACGCAGGATTACAAACTGTTTTAACCAGCTTGTGGAGACTATCAGCGGTCACAAAGAGAAAGGAAAAATATATGAAAATAACAACAAGAGATGTGGAAAAACAATAAGAAAGGACTGGATAGTACTGTGAACATCATAAGGTTAGATTTGTGGACATTAAAACAGCAGCAAGAAGCAAGAAGTTGATTGGATCCCCTTCGAACTTGAAATATGGGTACCCCCCAACAAAAATTTAAAATTCAGCTGTGTAATTTGGAATTTATGTAATTTGGTTTGATTTGATGTGATTGGTCGGTTAATAAAAAAATATTCTTAAAAAAAAAGAAAAGGGGCTACAGGTACCTTGACAAACAGGCATCTCGGGAGACCACTGGCCATTGGCCTGGCACTGAATGCTGCTTGTTCCATTGAGGTTGTAGCCCTCAGCACACTGGAAGAGACATGTCGACCCGTATCTGAAGGAGTCCCAGGGACCAGAGCAATTCATCTTCATCTTCCCCGGAGCATTCAGGTGGGGACACTTTATCGCTGTTGGGGGGATGGGAAGAAAATATGAACTACAAACTTGCTTTACACATTGGATTAAAGGCATGTTATGCTATTTTTAAACATAGCATTGTAAGAATTAGACAAACGGCTTAATAAAAGCTGACAAGTGACAGAGGCAGCTGTATTTATGCGATATGTCTTGGCTGTCTCTTAGTGCAGACCCAGATAACTGAGCCTGAGCTTCCACAGCTGCCACTCTCCAGGAACCACAATCGGCAGGACTGGTAGCAACAGCGGCAGATATGTTCTATGCTTGAAATAATATTTTATTCTCTTGCTAATTATGCTGTGTTAAATGTGTATTCTGTTGTTGACCTCCTTTGTAATGTAATATTTCAGTTTACTGTTAAATATGTTGCTTTGAATATATATTTTATTCTGGATTGTTTAATTTGATGTTTTAATGTAGCTTGTGAGCCACTTTGAGAATTTTTTCTTAAAAATATAAAGTGGTATAGAAAATAATAGTGATAATAATAATAATAATAATATAAAACAATCAGAAAAATAACCCCAAACCAAGGATGTTACTGTCAAACACTAGGCTGGACATAATATTTGACTGCTAAGTGGGGAAACCAAATGGAATACTCTGATGTTGTGCAGTAAAATAAGAAGTGAAACTGTGGGGTAGAAAAAATCTAGTTCACCCATGTGGGGTAATAATTAAAGACTTGGCTGGATCTCTAACTCCAAAGTTTGGGGCTAAACACACTCCCCAGCAAGAGTGAGCACCCAGGAGAGTATTAAAATAACAGAATCATGCTGCACAGTAAAGCATGGAAATAATAGGCTGTTAGACCTTTTAAACATCACATTCTAGTCCGCTTTCAGTGCTTCCTCCTCTACCCCTCTTGCAATAAACAGACCACACTATTAGTAAGTTTAAATGCTTTACTTACAAACTCCAAATGTCAGACTCATGCATTATTCCATGCAGCAGCAAGAAGAACACAGGTAGAAATACTGGGTTTACGAAACACAGAAAAATATTTCTGAGCATGCAATCTGGGCTTAAAGCTTCACATGGTGGAAGAGAATGAAGAAAGAAGCTTCACTTCCTCCTTCACAGGAATGAGAGAACATGATCTGAATCCAGCAATACCCCAGCTGGATGGGCGGGGTATAAAAAATTTATTATTATTATTATTATTATTATTATTATTATTATTATTTGGTCTTAATCCCTTAATGCATTAACTAGCCCTATACTTGCTAACTAGCGCTAAATTTGACTGCCATTTCCCATACAAACTCCAAGGCAGAAACTGAAAGCATGATAAGACATGCAAGGAGCTCGTCAGTGGGGTAGGCCTACAGAAGTGATGGCCAAACTTGGCCCTTCCCATCATCCCTGACAACTGGTCCCGTTAGCTAGGGATGATGGGAGTTGTAGTCCAAAAACAGCTGGAGGGCCAAGTTTGGCCATCACTGGCCTACAGCGTTTTGTATCACACTTCCAGTGTTGAATAAGATATATATCTTGGCCTCTGAAGCCACTGTGATAGCCACACACAACACACCCTTGGAAAGAAGCCCTAATCCAATTCTAGGGAGCAACCTTATGACAAGCAGCACCCACTGTTTGTCCAAGCCTATCCCAGAAGGAACCAAGGTTATCTGGAAGCCCTACCTTCACAAATGGGCACATCTCTGCTCCAGTTTCCCTGATCTGTGCACTCAAGCTCCTCTGACCCAACCAGCTCAAAGCCAGAGTTGCAGGAGAAGATGCAGCTGGAGTGATAGGCAAAGTGGCCATATGGTTGAGAGCAGTTTCCCTTGCCATTGTCTGGAGTTTGCAGGGATGGGCACTGGACAGCTGGAATAGGAATGTGCAGATTATTTAATGTACATGAATATTGGATGAGTCACAATACACTGCAGCAGTTGCATATTCAAATTATAAAGTGTTTCTTTCCCTTGGCTGGTGACCATATTGCAAGTATCCAAGATATCAAAATGCAACTATATGATTTTATGTTCTGGTCTTCCTTCAATGCAGAAAGCTTCTGAAAGAGCATTTTACGGGGTCAGCTTCCTTACAATGAATAGGAGACCTGCGGCATTTTTGTCGTATACTTTAATTTCCAGTCATACGCATTGAACTCTGAGGAGTTATGGGAAATGCATTTACTGCAGGTGTCAGCCAACATGGCACTCTCCAGATGTTGGCTAAGGGGATGGGAGTTGGAGTTCAGTCACCTCTGGAGGGCATAATAATAATAGTAGTAGTAATAATAATAATAATAATAATAATAACAAAAACAACAACAACAACTTATTATTTGTACCCTGCTCATCTGGCTGGGTTTCTCCAACCACTCTGGGCGGCTTCCAACAAAGATTAAAAATACATTAAAATGTCACGCATTAAAAACTTCCCTAAGCAGGGCTGTCCCTGTTTTGCTGGCACTGACCTTGACACTGCGGCAGTTGTTCAGTCCAGCGGCCTTGAGCTGTGCAGTCAAGCATCTCCAGTCCAAGCAGCTGAAACCCAGCACTGCAGGAAAAGTTGCAGCTGGAGCCATATGCAAAGTGCCCAAAAGGGTGGGTGCAATTTAAATGGCCATTGTCGGGCTTAGGTAGACCTGGGCACCTGACAGCTGAAGCAAAAAGGACAAGTAAGCAACAAAGCCAAAGTTATAGATATGATAAACTGAAGAAAATCCATTGATGAGCATATTATTATTATTACTAATAAAGCATTTATTATTTATATAGGAAAATGTGTTGCAAAGGCATTGCCTCCATGAAGGGAATATTTATGCTACAGGAGAGCTCAATGCAGATGAAATATCTATTACTATTTGTTGCTATTGTTTTATTACCGTAATTTATGTCTTGCCTTTTACATTTTTGTCAAGGCAATTTACAAATGTTTCATAAAAACAACTAAAATAGTTTTTAAAAGGGTACAAAGAACAGTTGACGAGGGTCCAAGGCTACCTTCACAAATGGGCACATCTCTGCTCCAGTTTCCCTGATCTGTGCACTCGAGCTCCTCTGACCCAACCAGCTCAAAGCCAGAGTTGCAGGAGAAGATGCAGCTGGAGTGAAAGGCAAAGTGGCCATATGGTTGAGAGCAGTTTCCCTTGCCATTGTCTGGAGTTTGCAGGGATGGACACTGGACAGCTGGAATAGGAATGTGCAGATTATTTAATGTACATGAATATTGGATGAGTCACAATACACTGCAGCAGTTGCATATTCAAATTATAAAGTGTTTCTTTCCCTTGGCTGGTGACCATATTGCAAGTATCCAAGATATCAAAATGCAACTATATGATTTTATGTTCTGGTCTTCCTTCAATGCAGAAAGCTTCTGAAAGAGCATTTTACGGGTCAGCTTCCTTACAATGAATAGGAGACCTGCGGCATTTTTGTCGTATACTTTAATTTCCAGTCATACGCATTGAACTCTGAGGAGTTATGGGAAATGCATTTACTGCAGGTGTCAGCCAACATGGCACTCTCCAGATGTTGGCTAAGGGGATGGGAGTTGGAGTTCAGTCACCTCTGGAGGGCATAATAATAATAGTAATAACAACAACAACAACAACAACAACTTATTATTTGTAACCTGCTCATCTGGCTGGGTTTCCCCAACCACTCTGGGCGGCTTCCAACAAAGATTAAAAATACATTAAAATGTCACGCATTAAAAACTTCCCTAAGCAGGGCTGTCCCTGTTTTGCTGGCACTGACCTTGACACTGCGGCAGTTGTTCAGTCCAGCGGCCTTGAGCTGTGCAGTCAAGCATCTCCAGTCCAAGCAGCTGAAACCCAGCACTGCAGGAAAAGTTGCAGCTGGAGCCATATGCAAAGTGCCCAAAAGGGTGGGTGCAATTTAAATGGCCATTGTCGGGCTTAGGTAGACCTGGGCACCTGACAGCTGAAGCAAAAAGGACAAGTAAGCAACAAAGCCAAAGTTATAGATATGATAAACTGAAGAAAATCCATTGATGAGCATATTATTATTATTACTAATAAAGCATTTATTATTTATATAGGAAAATGTGTTGCAAAGGCATTGCCTCCATGAAGGGAATATTTATGCTACAGGAGAGCTCAATGCAGATGAAATATCTATTACTATTTGTTGCTATTGTTTTATTACCGTAATTTATGTCTTGCCTTTTACATTTTTGTCAAGGCAATTTACAAATGTTTCATAAAAACAACTAAAATAGTTTTTAAAAGGGTACAAAGAACAGTTGACGAGGGTCCAAGGCTACCTTCACAAATGGGCACATCTCTGCTCCAGTTCCCCTGATCTGTGCACTCGAGCTCCTCTGACCCAACCAGCTCAAAGCCAGAGTTGCAGGAGAAGATGCAGCTGGAGTGATAGGCAAAGCGGCCGTATGGATGAGAGCAGTTTCCCTTGCCATTGTCTGGAGTTTGCAGGGATGGGCACTGGACAGCTGGAATTGGAAATACAGATTTCTCAATATACACCCCAAATAAATAAGTCACTTCAAATTCAGCTTGCGTTGTATGATATCAAATGAAAGGTACTAACTTTGGGATTGGGGACAGCCTGCAGATAGATGGCGGTTAATTCCACCTCCCCCCACCCCACCCCCTGATGAACCACATGCTCGTGTGGGGAGGTGGCAACTCCTGAAATGCTGCTACAGCAACTAAGCACATTTTGAAGCTTTGACACCCAGGACATCAGTGCTAAAGAAATCTGGAAATTTACAAGGAAACAAACAACTACAGTGGTACCTCAGGTTAAGAACTTAATTCGTTCTGGAGGTCCGTTCTTAACCTGAAACTGTTCTTAACCTGAGGTACCACTTTAGCTAATGGGGCCTCCTGCTGCTGCCGTGCCGCCAGAGCACAATTTCTGTTCTCATCCTGAAGCAAAGTAACCTGAAGTGTATGTAACCCGAGGTACCACTGTATCTGACTTTTAGAAGACATCTGAAGGCAGCCCTGTATAGGGATGTTTCCAGTGTTTGATGTCTCACTGTGTTTTAATTTGTTGGAAGCTGCCCAGAGTGGCAGGGGAAACCTAGTCAGGAGGCACAGAAATAATAAACTATTATTACTATTATTATTATTATTATTATCTATGAGATCCAGTTTTCCCATATGAACCTGCCTTGCAGCATGTCCATTGACTGAGCTCTCTAGTGCTGTACTCCAACTGGCAGCAGTCCAAAGTTAATTTCAAGCAAAGATCCTATTCTCTGCAGCTGCTGCTTGAGATCCTTTTAATCGGGAAATGCCAGAAATGGAAAAATGCAAAGCTTGTGATCTTAACCGCTGAGCTAGGGCCTCTCCTACTCACATCAAGAGTCTGCCCTCCTGATATACACACAACGGCAAGTAAATTGCCAACCAGCTCTACATCTTATTCTAAGCATTAAAAAGCACCAGAGAAACACAGATCCATACAGAGATGTGTCTTAAATGGCCAATAAAATTATGTCAATTTAATTTACTTATATCCTAAATTGTATTTAGTCAAAGGCAATTATATCTCCATTGGGTGCGCTAAAAATAAATGGATTGTGCATCTGGGGCTGTGCTGTCTGCATGTCTGGAGTGAATGTGTTCTGCACCTCTTCTCAGCATTTTGGAGCGTGATACAGATGATATAGCTCTGCTGGATCAAGCTAAAGGCCCATCTAGTCCTACATCCTGCTCTCACCGTGACCGACATGATGACTATGGGGTCTAAGCTCTCCCCACTTGTGATTCCCAGCATACTGCTCCACTGACAGTGGAGGTAGAACATAGGACATACTGTATGTAGAACACATATGGAGGAACTGCCAAGCAGATGCCACTAAGAATGTTGCTACAGTGAATGGACCCCAGAGACAGTACAGTCACCATCACCCAAAGCCTGCGTTGTTGTTCTACACACCCAAAGTTCAGGTTTCATACTTTTCAGGAGGAGGGTGTGATACAGTAATTCACCGTTAGACACTATGGATTAGTGACCTTATTTCCACATCAGTCTGTGACCTCGTTAAGGAAGGTTGCCCCTGTGATCACTCCAGAATAAGTACCCAGTTCTTGGTATTCAGTCTGTGTCCTGTTCCTTTGCAAGTAGCAAAGGCACCCAGTCAGTTTTGTTTAGATTCCCAAGTTTCAGAGCAAGATCTTGTATGAAACTGGAGAAAAATCAAGAATTGCTGTTGCCACTGCTATCAGTGGAAGTATGACACCAGAGGATACAGTTTGTTTTTCAATTTAGCAAATGCAACATCTCAATTTTATATACTCAGCTACCATCCATTTCCCAGCTGATTCCCAAGAGTATACTCAGCACTGACCTTCACATAAGGGTGGTTTCTCCGTCCACATTCCCAGAGCTGTGCACTGAAGTTGCTCTGCTCCAACTTGCACAAACCCTGTATTGCAGGAGAAAGTGCAGCTGGAGCTATATGCAAAGTCTCCATGTGGATGAGAGCAGTCAAATTCTCCATTCTTGGGGACATCCAGTTTGGGGCACTCAATAACTAGAATGAAAGAGAATGCTCAGTGTTGGTGAAAGGAGGAACTATTCAGCCCAGATTCTCCCAGCCACAGGAAGAGGCAAGTCCAGGCATGAAATGAGACCTATTCTTCTGGGGGGGGGGGGAATGAAGGCAGTTATTTCAGGGGTGCTTCCAGATATAAGTTCTCCCTTGCATATAAGGTAGGTGCTGCTCAACAAACCTCTACCCCACCATTCTTTTTACATTTAACTATTTGGCTTGACCCCACCATTTCTCATCTGCACCAGTGGATGGATCATGATAGGATGTGTCTGGAATGAGTATTTAACTCATTCCTCTCACAGAAACATGTGCGTGCATGCAGGTGGTTCATATATCTGCATGGGTTCCTTATTTTGTTTTTTAAAAAATAAACCAATCCCGCCACAAGTGTGAAATTAAAAAAAATGCAAAAGTCTCATTGACCAATGTAGAGATTGATCCATCAATCCCCCTTTTTGCTTACCACTGCAAGGTGGCAATTGAAAACACATTTTAAAAATATGTTTTCTATCAGAAGCCAAGAAACACCTTACTTTTGCCATTTTGAAAAACAGCCTTGTGTTTTGTCTCTCCTCATCAGGACTTCCTCAAATTCTGCTTTCTCATGCTCAAGAAAAAAGGCATCGCGTGCACTTAACATTATGTTTAGGCAATGTGATGCCTCCCCCCCCCCCCCCCCAGAATGAGAAAGCTGCATTTGAAGAAGTGCCTGGTTTTCCATGCTATAGGACCCACATTTTCTTCTCATGAAAACCTTCCCCAACCCATGAAAAACAGTATTACAATACAGGCAGCAAAAGCCAAATTTGTGGCACATGACACTTCCTGTGTCAAAAACCACAGTCCCCAAAGTCCCAGTGGTAAAAGTGCAAACCAGCACAAACACACCCACACCAAAGGGCTCTTTGCACTGCTGTTCTATATCTTTCCTATCACTAAGAAATTAGAAGGGGAGAAATTGATGAAAGGAAGATAATGTCAAAACAATGATGCTGTCGTGATATGCATGCTCCCATATGAAGTCTGAGGAAAATGCTATAAGAAAGGGCCATCTGGAAGCAGCCCAGGTTACTATAAGGGAGCCAGGCTGGAGGTGCTCAGCCTTGAAAGACCCTGACCAGACAGATCAGAGTTTCATCACAAAAACAGGCAGTGAAAAGACCTTAGTTACCCTGACATGTTGGCAACGGAGCAGTCCAGTTCCCAGTTGCTAAGCAGCGGGTTGAATTTCTTCCAGCCAAGGTAAATCCAGCCTCGCAGGCAAACTCACAGGTCGACTGGAATGCAAACTCTCCATTTGGATGAAAGCAGGTCATCCTCCCTTGCTTGGGGGTCTCCAGACTGTGGCACTGCATGGCTGAAGATGACAATGGTGATGATGGTAATAATCATAATTTCTTATACCCTTCCCATTTGACTGGGTTGCCCCAGCCAGTCTGGGCAGCTTCCAGCAAAAATACAGGGAAACAACAACAACAATGGGATACAGAAGAAGAAGAGATACAAGTGGGCAAAGGGCGGGGGGAGCCAGGAGGGATAAGGGGGGGGGAAGGCTGTTGCAGAGTATTATTCCTTTGACCCAACCTCTACCCCTTGCACATATTGGTGTTTATTCAGGTATGTGTAAATGTCTTGTATACTGCAAATGTGGAGGCCAAGGTGTGGAACACATCAATCGTTAAGAAAACTGTGAATTAAAAGTTAGTATATTCAGGTGATGCGTTTCTCTAGGAACTATGGGTTCCGGAAGAGGTCAGGAAAGATGTCATTTTATCCTTATTCCACCACCTCATACCCAAAGAAGAATGGTGGTTCTTCCAGCAGCCTCACCTTGGCACGCTGGGACTGCCGCTGTCCATTCTCCAGATGCCGTGCACTCCGTCACCTGTTCTCCAAGTAACTGGAACCCTTCAGCGCAGTGGAAGGTGCAGAGAGACTGGTACTGAAATTCCCCATGGACATCAAAGCAGGTGCTGTTACCATAAGCAGGAGGCTGCAGCAGCTGGCACTGAACCACTACGGAAAGCAGATGTGCAAATCAGGCGAGAGGCAATAGTTAAGAGTTGGAACTGGTTCAAGGGTGCAATTACTTCTCATGTCATGCACAGTTTAGCATACAGCGCCCGTGTTCAGTCTCAGGGTGAAACTACATAGCTCAGTTGGTTAGAGCAGGGTGCTGATAATGCCAAGGTTGCAGGTTCAATCCCCGTCTGGGACAGCTGCATATTCCTGCATTGCAGGAATTTATTATTTCTACCCCACCCATCTGGCTGGGTTTCCCCAGTCACTCTGGGCGACTCCCAACAGAATATTAAAAACACGATAAAACATCAAACACCATCAGAGTCCCTTCCAATTCTACAATTCTATGATTCTAAGATTCATATAGTAGTGCAACACTTCTGTATTAAAAGTGGATCTGGCATCAAGTCCATAGCAAGTGTGGAAGCGAAAATAAGAAAGGGTTCAACTGCTTCCAGTCAAGCACCCCACATGGACTTCATGTACATTTGGCAGGAACCAGTTAGGGACTACCATCATCGGGTCTAGCCTGATTCTCGGGACATTGACAGATGACCTGTTTATTGAGCATTCATCATGATTTGTTTGCAAGGAGGTTAGATGGTGGTGGGCCCCTCCAGCCTGGTGTTATATTGCAGATGTGTTCCACAACATGTTCTTGAAACACGAGAAGCACATTAGTGGTGGGTTTATTCTGCTTCCATGTGTTCTGTAATGCTTTCCCGATGCTGTCACATTATTGTTGACAAGGAGGGGCTATGGGACAATAAAAGTGGAGCAAAAACCAGAACATTTGTGGTACAAAAAGTTATGGGGCTTCAGCAGGAAGTTACAGGATATGCACTAATTGGAAATGAAGCAGTGCAACTGCCCCATAACGTTTGCAGATGCAAACCGTATTGAAAGACGGAATGTGTGTGACTGCATTGATAGCATCATGAGCACAAATAGTCATGAATGCACCATGAAAAAAGATGTCTGGAGGGGCCGAGCGTGTCAAGGCAAGTGTTACTGCACACTTTCCAGTGCATTTTCCTTTGTGCAACCTGAGTGACTTTCTTGATTATACAAATTACAAGGCATAGAATATTACCCAATAATGAGGTAGAATATTACACAATTTACAGCACAGTCTGGTATGCATGACGTGCATACTGCAATTCTTTCTTTCCCTCTTTCCCCCTTTCCTTCTCTACTTTTCTCCTTTTTAACTTTAGAAATTCTAATAGTTATTAATACAAAATACCTTTTACTTATGGTCACTAATCAGGCAACATAGATTACCATACATCACTTCATATCAACTTTGTTGATATAGTCAAAAAATTATCTGATGGTATATTATTATTTTATCTTTTAATGTCAAGAATTGCTGCATGCCATATGCTCTATTGTAAACAAACAGGTAGCTAAATGAAACCATGTTAAATAGTTTTAAAATGAGAATTAAGAAAAACAAAAAATTAATAATTGTGCAATCTGAAGTTCCTGACATGTGAATGAATCCCACAAAAAAACCCCACAACAGTCTGTAGATGCCCTCAGTTATCAAGCCCTTGGAACACTTGTGTATTGACAAATTCTGGACAGCAACATACCGTAAAACATAGTATCTCTCTGGGCTCACTGACTAAGTTCTTGGCCTTGGGTCCTGCCCAGTCTTCCAATCACTACACAGCAGGGTTAAGTAGACTATTCAACACGGCAACTGTACAAGGTAGCTGCAGCAGACCAGTAACACCAAACTGAGACACTAAATTCCTCTAGAGGCCCACAAAAGTCTATATGATGCCATACCGTGACAAACAGGTACAGAGGATGTCCACTGGCCAGATGCACTGCAGTGCAACGTCTTGGGGCCACGGAGCTGAAAGCCAACTTCACAACCAAAATCACAGGTGGAGTTGTAAGCGAAGTCGCCCACTGGATTTACACAGTCCATTGTTCCTCTTCTGGGTAACTTGATTTCTGGACATTGCTTAACTAAAGAAAGAAAAAGGGGTAAACTAGAATGAAATAGAAATCTCCAAAACAATGATGCAAGGGGTATGCTTGCACTAGATTTATTTAGTATATGGAGTTTATAAACCATGAGCCTCACCTACTACATTTCGCATGATGCCAGCCTATCTCCTCACCAACACCACAGGCACCCCTCCTCCCAGCTCTGCTTTAGTAAGTCTTGCTAGACACAGATGGATGACTGACTTAAGCAGACCCATTCCCCATTTGACTGGGGGACCCTCTGCCAATCTCCAACAGTAACATTAAATCAGATTGCTATTCTCCCATGGATTTGTAGCCTTCACGGGTGCAGAGATAGTCTAGAATTAGCCACAAATCAGCTAAAACAATTAGAAACAAATACAGTTATGTTCTTAGAATTGCAGAATTGTAGAGTTGGAAGGGACCCCCCAAGGGTCATCTAGTCCAACCCCCCTGCAATGTGGGAATCTCATCTTAAGCGGGTAGCCATCCAGCCTCTGCTTAAAATGTTATTCAGCTCTGTTTTTTCAACAGCATTTTTTTATTTTTACATTTGAGAGCAGCAGCTTCAGAATTGAGACCCAGCGCCAAAGATACGGCTAGCCACAGATCAGATCAGTCACCTGCCCCTTCCCTCTCTAGGTTTTTGTGGCCTACTGCCCCACCTTCTCTTTTCCAAGGCTTCTGCTTCCTCTGTCCTTCCTTGCCTAGGGCATGCATTCTCTGAACCTTTGCAGGATTTGTGCAGCTCAAGACAGTGATCTCAGGTTAATAGGCAGGGTAAAAGTACTCCCAAATAAGTAAGCAAATGTTGGCAGTTGAAAACTCACTATAGCACAACAGCTGGTCCCATACCAGGCAGGAAGCTCCAGCTTAGGGTAGCTCAGCCAGCCTCTGACAAACCCTACTACATAACCCCTTTGTTTTTGAAGATATAAATAAGGTATATAGATTGATTTTTAGAATCAGATAAATTAAGGCTCTCACTTTTTACTTGCTCTGTGCCTTAAAACAGCAGCCTGATACGCAGAAAACAAGGAATTGAAACTTTCCATATCTCTATACCAGAAAACATTCCTGCTTTCAGGTCAGGCTGCTGCAAATGGTACAGGGCAGGATTAGCAAAAAGAAAAAGGGGGGGAAAGTTAACAACCCTAAATGCAATATGACCACCAACAGTAATTTGGAATCTCCAGGTTTATGAAATTGAGGTACAAAATGTTTATTCCATGCATCTAAATTAGTTTTCCAGGTCAGTATCTACTTCTGGTCTTGGCATTTGATAGCCAACAGCTGGATCCCCAAATATATTCATCGTACACCCTCTAAGTACTACAGAGTTCTGAGACAATAATATCGGAATGGGATTTAGAAGGAAACTGAACCTTGACATATTGGCTCCAGGGAACTCCATTCTCCAGATGCTTCACATCTAGTGGTCTCCACTCCACTTAGCAGAAAGCCCTCCGCACAGCTAAAGTTGCAGCTAGTCTGGTACTGAAATTTCCTGTGAGAGCAGATGAGGTCTCCATGAACAGGGATTCTTAATGGCCAGCACTGGATAGCTAAGGAACAGAGAAGGGAGGATTCAATCAGGCACGTGTGCGCTATGCATGATGGGAATTGGCTATTATTATTATTATTAATGCCACCCATTTGGTTGGGTTTCCCCAGCCACTCTGGGCAACTCCCAACAGAATATTAAAAACACAATAACATATCAAACATTGAAAACTAGAAGATCAGGACTCTGGTTATGAAGGACATCGACTGAAGATGGACTACTTACTTATTGCTCGTTTTATCTGCAAGTGCGCCCCCTTGCCCCCACAATTTAGGGGGCTGGGCGATGTCAGCATGCCACATGTTGTTGATGTGTCATGTGCACGCCACACGGCTTGCACACATGAAACAGGCACACCCTACTGCATGCACCTGTTTATCCGTGAGCTGCCTTGAGTTTTGTCAGGGGAAAAGGAGGGGAATAACAACAACAACAACAACAACAATTCCACTAGGAATATCTCCTGCAACTAGGGATGGGGGTGAAATGTACCAGAAGCAGAATGAGCACCGAACTGGCCTGTAACCTGCTTGTCCACTCTCTTTTGTGAAGTGGCCTTGCTTGCAGCGACTTTCTGAAGATTCCTCCAGTACTGCTTCTTTTATTTTAGGGGGCAGGTAGAATTTATTTTTATTTTTTTGTAAATAATTTTTATTCATTTTCCAATTAAAAACCAGATTTTTTAAAATATGATGACATTTATTCCCGTACAGTTTAGTCAGCTGCTGCCATCACCAACATTTAATCTTAACTGTCTGCTGAAATGTACATTCACATTAACTTCTGTCTCATTTATTCACAGTTGAGGTGATTATGTTAGCCATTAACCCCCATTCACATTTATTGTTTTAATGTTAACCTTTCTCTCATTCCCCCCACCCAACTTCAGCCAAATGCATACAGAAAGCACAGTCACTGTCTTACGTCTTAATGTGGGCATATGATATTTATTAATGTAACCCAAAGTGGGCTTCACTTGTATTTGTGAATGCTAAAATGAGACTCTGGAGCATATATATTTGTAGCAACATTGCTGCATTACTTATTATAATAAATTACACATTTATAATAAATGGTGAGTTTTTCTACCATCCTGTTTATGCTTACTGCTTTTCAGTTTTGATCCATGCAAAAAGGAAAACTCCAATTTGTTTGTTTGTTTTCTGGGCAAAGTGCGCAGGCTGATGGGGTGTGTGGAATTATTACAACAGTGCTTGGCTCAGTGGGCCTCTTGCCAGTTTCTGGACCTTGGCAACTGCCACACTTGCGTTAACACCTGGCACCCACCATAATAGCACATACCTACACACTGCGGTATCTCTGCTGACCAGCTTCCAGACGGCAAGCACTGCAAAGTGCCCAGGCCATTCATTTCAAATCCTTCATCACAACTGAAGCCACAGCTGGAGTTATAACTGAAGTTCCCCAGAGGATGACTGCAGTTCATGTGCAGTGGTCTAAGTGCAGCATCCAAGTCCTTGCATTTCACAACTAAATGGAGACATTGAAATACCAGGTTATGCCAACACTACCATCAGCAAATGTGTTTCTAACCTCGCCTTTGAAAGAGACTGTGGAGAGGAAACATTTGTTGCCTGAATCCTTCCTCACTCACTTATAATACCAATCCTTTCAGACCTTGTGTTTCTTTGGAGCCAACACAGCAACCAGAATTTAATTCTCTCCCAAAGCATGGTCTGGCCAACTTGAGTTAAAGTACCACTTAGTGGTGGTAAAGATGAGTGACTAACTCAACCATCAGGAATTTATCATGGTGGCCCTCTTCTGCCATAGGTGCAGGACCAGACAAGTTTTTCTGGGGACATGAACAACAGTGTATGGGGGGGGGTTGACCCCTTCCCCTCAAACCACACCCCTAAAACTCAAATAAAAGTTACCGTATATTTAAAAGACAGATATATTTCACTGGATATATTACAAGACACATTTGCAAGAAGCAACCTGTATTCAGTTCAGTGGCGCTTACCCTGGGAAAGTGGATAAGGAAAAGAATGGCTCCAGTGAGCTGTGGAGTTGGCTCCTGAGTATTTAGGTCAGCATTTTCACCCATCCATTTCTAAGTCTCCTTTTAATTTCAAATATGCACTTTGCATCTCAGTGATGCTGACAGCATGCTATCTTTCTGGAATATCTATACAGAGCCTAAGCAAGAAGGTTATATTTTAGGCTCTGCCCATTTCTACTAGATGCAAGACAGCCACCTTGGGCCAAATGAGGAGGGGAGAAATGCTTTTGCTATATGCATCACTTATTAGTACATCCACTTCAAAGTTTCATGCAGAAACTTAGGATGGAAGCTACTTCCCCCCACCAGATTCAGTGTCTCTAGAACAGCTTTCTGGAAAAAAGCTTTGTTGTTTTCAGCATATCAGACTACAGCTAAACTCAGTAGAGCAGAATCAGTAGTAAGCTGGAAATCCTGAGGTCTAGAAAGCTGGATTTCTCATATGTGTGTCTGCCAGAGCAGTAGGTAGGAAAGGGTGGATGGGAGAAGAGTTAAAGCACCATCTCCCCTTCCTAAGGCTTCTCCACTCTAGATTATCCCTGCTCCCATTTGGATTCCTTGATTCCTCTGGTTTAGCTCTTAGGCTGCATACACACAATACCTTTAAAATACATTCAAAGTACATCCTTTCCCTCGAAGAATTCTAGACAGTGCAGTTACACAGAGTTACAATTCCAGCAACTCTTAACAAACTACGGTGCCCAGAATTATATTTTGTTGAGGGTGGGGAGTGTGCTTCAGATGTGCTTTAAAGGCATGTTGGGTACACAGGCTTATTCACACAACCGAGGCACACCTTTCACTGAGACAGTAAACCTGCATCTTTGAGCAAGACCACTTCAAACTACAGGTTAAGACTTGCATGGCTGATATATATTTTTAAAAACCCTCGCTATTATAGAAAACTGGCACATCAGGGAGAAGACTCAACTAGAATCCAATATCTAGTTCTATATATTTTGTGTGGAAGAGCCACCAGCCTTGTGAGCCCCCATTCACAATATAAAGTACAATTCAGAGGTGAGTTTTCTCCTCGTGGAAATAGGCCAAACTTGCCCTTTTGATTCCCCCAAACCAGAGCCAAGAGTGGCTGAGGAGAATTTGTACATTTTGTTGCTAGACTTAAAACCCCTGGCATGGCTTCCAACATAGATGTTTCAAAGGAAAATTATATTGAGCTGGGCAGTAATGTTATTTGTGATGCATGTCAGTCAACACAACAGGGCTAAATATTTCTCACAGAGCAATCTTTGTTATCACATTCCGGTGTGCTTCCTTTTGGGGCAGAACTACACTACAAATGTAAACTAGTTTTAAAAATGATTTCCTCTTTCCAGAGAATTCTGGCTACTTGTAGTTTCACGAAGGGCAGGGTGGGCGGAGATGTCAGCAGCCTCAAAGTACAATTCTCAGGATTCTGGGGAGAAAGCCAAAACACTTAAGCTTCTTTTAAACACACACACACACACACACACACACACACACACACACACACACAATATAAGTTAGCAGCATAGAAGAATAATCTGCACAGGAAGAAAGCTGACAAAATAGGAGGCTTTGCAAAAGATGCTACTGGTTTCATCACATAAGCTTCATACTGTGAATGGACAAAGCCCTCTGAATGTCCTTTAAGTAAAGAAGGTAGCACCACTTCAAACCTCAACAAAAGCCAAGAATTGGAAAGAAGCCCCGCTCAGCCTTGAAGAGGAGCAGTTTCTCTTGCTCAGCAAAAATTTATTCACAGGAAAACCTCTTAAAAGTTATACAAGAGAAATAAATGTAAATTTTGTATTTTGTGGTGATCAAGAGACTGAGCGGAAAATCAGATAGTCCCAGGTTCAAAATTCAGCTTAGCCATTAATTCACTAGAAGGCCCTGAAGGAAGCCCCCCTCGCTCTCAAATGGGGATCACACTGGCCTTCCTTACAGGAAAGCGTACGTGAAGCACTCAGAACCATACCCTCCAACATTTTTCCAATGAAAATAGGGACATCCCATTCCATAATGATAACTTTACTATTTATACCCCACACATCTTACTGGGTTGCCCCAGGCACTCCAGGCAGCTTCCAACATATATAAAAACGTCATAAAACATAAAACATTCAAAAAACTTCCCTATACTGGATTGCCTTCAGGTGGTTCAGGGGTCAGATAACTCCATACCCTCCAACATTTCTCCACTGAAAATAGGGACATCCTAAGGAAAAGTGGGACATTCCAGGATCAAATCAGAAACTGGGATGGCTTCTCCAAATCAGGGACAACCCTGGAAAATAGGGGCACTTGGAGGGCCTGTCAGAACATTTAACTCAAGGGCTAATTATTCTTATATGTTTTGTCAGCACGTAACAAGTATCCATCCCCCAGCCATGGTTCTGGTCCTTGGGTTGTTAGAAGACTCACCATATTCACACTCCGGCCCATAGAAGCCAGGATAACATTGGCAGGTATAATTCCCAATGGTCTCCACACACTCCCCATGCTGACTGCAGGAGGAAGGCTGGCAGGAAGCTGCACAGAAGAGAGAAGTGGATTAGAGTTGCGCCATCTCTTGAAACTTAAGCTCTACTCCCACGGGAACACAGAACTGCAGTTGCCAGGATCTCTTTGGAGAAGAGAGGAGGGCTACACTAGTTAGCAGCCTATTTCATTCTGTAGTGTCGATGTGAGAAAATGGAGGCCAGTTTCTCCTGTGTTTAGTCCAGTTGCAATCATTCCCTGCAAACATAGGAGTCCTAGGGGTTGAGGTCCCTTTCGGACCCCCAATAAAATATTTGATAGCCACTGCCATTCAAATGGTGTGTGCACTCTGCATCTTGTGATCAGTTATGTAGGGCGGGGCTTAACTGCCTCCCCCCATATTTTATTCAAGTAAAAATGAAAAACTAATGGCAGACTAGCTAAAGCCCAAGGAGGACTTTAATAACTGCACAGAACAGGCAAGAGCAGGTCAGCCATGTAGTGTGAACAAAGCTACGCATATTAAAATTTTCCTCCTCTAACCAGCTCTTCAAAGATACAAGCATCTTTGGCATCAAGCTACTCTTAACAGAAGGGAGCTGTGGACCCATTCTGCAGAGTTCAGTACTCAGGGCTGATTCTGCTTCATGTTCTAATAAAGAGCTCCAAGTCTGGACAAAATCAAAGTCTACAGGCTGTTCCACACCACACTTTTAAATCAGGCAAAGAACCCTGGGAACTGTAGTTCCCCCCTCACAAAGCTACAAATCCCAGCACCCTCAACAAGCTACCGTTCCTAGGATTCCTTGAGGGGAAGTCATATGCTTTAAAACTGCATTGAATATTTAAAATACGTAAATGAAAATAAGGTTAGAAGGAATTGCTGGAAATACGATCTGAACTAGAATACAAAATTGGGAGGTGAGAGGAGGTCATGGAAATAAGTAAAGGGAAAAGGTTAAGTAAAGGTTTAATCTGTTTTTGTTTTATTTTAACTTAATGTATTTTTATATCTTTTGTTAAGTCTTCTTTTTTATTCTATTTTATTGTTCTTTTTTATTTGTTTATTCTACGCTTTGTCACGGTTAAAGTTTTCCTTGTATTTTGTATGGTTTTTCTTTTTCTTTTTTGTAATTTTAAATTTGAAATAAATATCATTTAAAAAAAAAACTGCATTGAATATACTTTAAATTTATGGTGTGGATATGCTCAAATCTCTTGTCAAATACACTAGCTTGCTTTTGAACAAACTGTTGCACTTATAGATGCCTGTTTTTGCCAATACAGGGTTCATGTTTGTCCATTTTCACTTAGCAATATCTGAAAAGGAAAAAGAAAATGATAGATTGATCCACACCTCTAAAGCAGTACCAAAAGTCATGCCAGAAATCGGGTCACATATTTTCATATCCAAATTCAGCTTTGTTCCTAAAGGAGATTTCAGCTAAACATTAAGAATAACTTTCAGGGGGTAAAATCTGTTCAACGGTGGAGCAGACTCTCTCTCAGAAGGTGGTGAAACCGTCATTGGAGGTTTCCCAAGAGAGGTTGGCTAGCCATCCATCAGGGATTCTTTAGCTGTGGTTCCTACAATGCAGGGGGTTGGACTAGATGACCCTTGGTGACCCTTCCAGCCCTACATTTCTATGGTTCCAAGATGTGCTGCAAATATATCAGGGTCCTGCACCTTATACTGCACAGGAAAGAATATCTCCATATGCGGACTCAGAATAAGCTGTGCTTGATTAACTGCAAGATCTCAGGCTGCTGTTTACAGTGCAGTACAGAAAAAGGGCAAGCAAAAGAGGCGGCAAGGTGGCCTGCCCATTATAGTGGAACCTAGGCTGCAGCTCTCTACCTGGGAGTAAGCCCAACTAAACTTACTTCTCAGTAGAAATACATAGGAATGTGTTGTTAGAAGGCATGGAGGAGAATTAAAGCTGAATCTACACTTTGCAAAACAATATGTGAACTGAAACACCTTTGAAATTTGCATTTATCTGAATTTTTCTGTGCCATTCTGCAACGAAACAGTGTTGACAAAAAAAAAATATTGGGGAAAGCGTGCATACAAGTGAAGATATGAGTGAAACAAACATACAGAAACACATTATATCAGGAAATATAATGTGTACATATGTTATATGCAGAAATGTGTACATATGTTAAAACTGCATATAAAAATGTGTTTACAGTATTATGGGAAATTCTCACTGAAATGCTGGTGAATTTTCATGAGGAGTCTTCAAGAATAAAATTCACAAATTGCTGAAAAATGTAGAGAACTGAATATTAGATTGGAAAAATAAGAAACTAAGGCTGGATCTAGACACATCAATTAAGTGTTTCAGTTAAACGCGTTGTAAATTTAAACAGGGAAATCTGGAAGGGAAAAACAGGACTCCACAGTGCATATAAATCGCTTTTTCTTTACCAATCTAGCTGAGTCCTAAGAGAACCAAAACTGATCAGTCCTTCCATTCCTAGCTGTTGGTATTCCACAGCTATGACATAATACGGGGTGCTTTCATTACCTTGGTAGCACAGTGGCAGTTTTTTGTTAGTACAACGTTCATCATTCCATTTTCCAGATTCCACAGGCCTTTTAATGTATATCTCAACACAGTCTTCTCCAGACCGTCTGTTGTTGGGTTCCCGAGAAGCCCAGTTTTCTGCTTCCTTTGTCAGGATCTTGCCCGTTCCAACCCAGGTCCAAACATTCTTAATCTTCCGGATCCCAATCCAGTAATACGTGCGATAGTATGGAATGGTAGCATTGAGATAGGCAATTTCTTCTTTGTTTTGGATTGCTACTAGGTCAGTATAGTGCTGCTGGCAAAATCTTCTTGCCATGTCCCAGTTGCTCGGGGGCATCTGCCCATAGTGGTAAGTCCAGGCACCCACAGAAGAAAATATCCCTGCCAGAGCAACAAGGATAATTAGGAAAAGGTTGCAATTGCAGACAAGCATCCTGAGTATACAAATGGTGATGAATACAGCTGGCCTGTTCTTATAAGAAGCACTAGATAACGTAAAATTAGCAGCCACAGAGGACAAGGCATTATGCAGAATAGACTCCATGCTCAAAAGGAAGAGGTGGCACTTTTGAACTGATCCTAACAGTTGAAAATCAAACAGAAATTAAAGAGGTGCAGTTGAAGGAGGGAGCAGCTAGCCTAGTAGGAGAGACATATTTGGAGTGTAACAAGGACCTTCTACTGGTGGAGGGAATTGTTAATCTTTTCTCCTGGAAACCCCATTAAGAACTGCTTTGGACAAAGAACTTAGCAAAATTACTTTAGTCAATAAGTATTTTCTTCAAAAGGGTTTACATGGGCTAGATTGGAACTTTTTACGGTTTTGTGCCACCTGCAATATTTTCCTGTTGTGACTATACCAGGAGATTCTTCTTGGCGTGGTCTTACAGGGCACTTGTTTTAATGGGATTGCCAATGAAGCCTTCTAGTTTCCATTTGTAATAGTGAGAACAGCAGAACCCAAGCAGCCTCAAACATATTTCTGCTTACACAACTCTTCCCATCCCCAGCGTTGCTTCATATCCTTCCTTGGCAAGGTCAAAGTAATAGCAAAATGAGATTTTTTTCCAGTAAATTTCATAAATACTTACCACAACTAATGATAGTAAACAGCAGCATGTGGTCATCTGTTCCTGTAGACCACAATCTTCTGCTGGTTACACCCTATTTGAGAATACAGATTTGCTGTTAAAGTGACGACGTGCATACAATTTTAAATGCAAATTCATAACCCTATTTATACAATCCAGCCAAAATTGCCTTTCAAGGCTCAAACTATATGTAGCAACATCCACACAATTAGCAACTGTGCTGTGCAGATGATTTTTAGAAAGCAGCAAGTCTGCAAGGTGCAAATGTGGCTCAGGAGAGCTCTGCTGGTGCAAAGGATTAAGGCAGTTTTCCTCAACCTTTTTCCAACTCTGGCCCCTTCCTGTGCCCCCCCCCCATCAACAGGGGCTATTTAAATGTTCCATATGTAAATAGAACATGTTTTATTTATTTTTTAATAATTTATACAAAATACAATTACATAAAAATTTATACTTTTATGTGTTTCTCTCTCAATGTTGCCCCTGTGCCTGATGACCAGAAACAAGTGCTGTGAATGCTGCTGATGCTGATGTTTCTTTGCAAGGAGCGATCATAGAGCTACAGAGCAACATAGCAGCCAAAGTAACTTTCTGTCAAGAGAAACACCATTTTTGGATAAAGAGTACAATACAGTGGTACCTCAGGTTAAGTACTTAATTCGTTCTGGAGGTCCATTCTTAACCTGAAACTGTTCTTAACCTGAAGCACCACTTTAGCTAAAGGGCCTTCCGCTGCTGCCGGAGCACAATTTCTGTTCTCATCCTGAAGCAAAGTTCTTAACCTGAGGTACTATTTCTGGGTTAGCGGAGTCTGTAACCTGAAGCGTATGTAACCTGAGGTACCACTGTATCTAAAAAGTTTCCACAGCTTTGGGATAAAGTAAAATTGTATTTCATGGTATTTCCTACTTTCAGTCGTGTTGATTACTCAGCCTAAAGCGGAATCGCCTTAACATAAGGACAGAGGTGATCTTCGGTTATCCCTCACAGCAATAGAACCAGATATTTAAAAAACTTGTTTCCCTCGCTCCCTATATTATTGTTACATGTTGTTCTGCTGGACCTTCCTGTGGCATTGTCAGCTGCTGTATTTGGGGCCAGGTTGGAAATTTCCCAGCTGGCAAAATGGCTCCTCCCTTCTGGTTTTTGCCACCCTCACAGCAACCGTCACAACTTTGGTGGTATAGGCATTGGGTAGGCGTAGTCTTGGACAGAGGACAGAGGGGAGGTTGTAGCCCCTGCCTGCCCCTCTGAAAAGGGGGGTCCAGGAGAGATGCTTCTGGACTCAGCTAGACTGGTAAAGAAAAAGCAATTTATATGCGCTGTATATGTGATATAACATTGTGCCACCGAATGTTGATGTGGAGTTCCGTTTTTCTCTATCTGTTTTCCCTGGTTAAATTTACAACTCTTTAAGCCGAAACGCTTCTTTGAGGTGTCTAGATCCAGCCTCTGTCTGGACGCCCAGGCGGGGGCAAGGGGCCACAGCTCTCTCCAGGTACAATCCATTGGGGGAGCTACTCCTTGAGGAAGGCCAAGGTCTCCTTCACTTCTGGTTGACCCCAAATGCAAATCCTTCTCTCAAACCTCTTACATCTGTAGTCAACAAAGTTGTGACCTGATTTTACCCAAACACTAGTTGTCATTCCTTTTATTCTTGGAATTTAGGCAGTCCTCAGGGCAGGAGGGATGTCTTGCAGCACAACAGCAATGCTGGGCTGGATGGGGCCCTGGCCTGATCCTGGAGACTCGTTTTAGGTTCTGACGTTCTAAAACTTCACTCAACCAGGCCCCCAGAAAACCTCATGCTGTATCTTTCTTCCCAGCAACATAACTTTTCTCTCCAGAAATTTAGGAAGAGGTTGAAACATCTAGAGCAGACTATAAGACTAGCCATTTATAAATAATAACACTGCCTATATTTTTTAATGGATGCAGGTCCCATCGGCACAACACATTTAAAACAGTCTTATACCACTTTAAACAGTCCTGACTCCACACTTGGGAAGAGGGATTGATGTATGGAAGTGAGAGCTGGACCATAAAGAAGGCTGATCGCTGAAGAATTGACGCTTTTGAATTCTGGTGCTGGAGGAGACTCTTGAGAGTCCCATGGACTGCAAGAAGATCAAACCTATCCATTCTGAAGGAAATCAGCCCTGAGTGCTCACTGGAAGGACAGATCCTGAAGCTGAGGCTCCAAGACTTTGGCCACCTCATGAGAAGAGAAGACTCCCTGGAAAAGACCCTGATGTTGGGAAAGATGGAGGGCACAAGGAGAAGGGGATGACAGAGGACGAGATGGTTGGACAGTGTTCTCGAAGCTACCAGCATGAGGGAGGCAGTGGAAGACAGGAGTGCCTGGCGTGCTCTGGTCCAGGGGGTCACCAAGAGGCGGACACGACTAAACGACTAAACAACAACAACACTCTGAGAACTGTAGCTCTGTGAGGGGAATAGTGATAGCCTAACAACTCTCAGCACCCTCAACAAACTACAGTTCCCAAGTTTTCTTGAGGGAAAGCATGACCGTTTAAAGTGGTATGCCACAGGTTTAACTGCATAGTGGAGATGGGGCTGCAGTCTATATCTGGGGTGGGTGGAAGGTAGCTCAGCATCTACTGGTAGGTCTCTGGGGGATAGTCAGAAAACCACCTCCAGGGATTTATGCTTTCCAGTAGCAACAACAGCTTTTGCTCACATACACACCCGAAAATCAGGCTGCTGAAATAAAGAAAGGTTGGAGGAAACCTGGAACAATTTACCCCCCCATATCAGTTCTTGTACTGAAAAAAGATTCCAGTGCTAAGGTGCACTTTGAGTTGCCCTGCTCCGTAATTCTAAGCATATGTCTGCCGCCGCTGCTGCCGCCACCTTCCTAAGCCACGTGTCATGACCCTGCTGGAGGAGTCCCCTTCAGAGCACCCCAAGGCCAACATTGCAGGGGGACAGGGAGACATACCAGACCCTTCAGGGTGTTTCAGCCTCTTCCCCAAGGCACAGCAGGCTGTGGCTCAGATGCCGAGGCGAGGACTGAGCTTCCCCCAAACCCAAGAGAGCGTTCACTTGTAAAGGCACAGAAGCAGCCAGATGCCAGAGTGCCTGCTTGAAGACCAAGATGGGCTACTCCACACAAGTAGACCAAGCTCAGACAGCCCAGATGGCCTGCAGCTGTGGTCAGGGTGAGACTCTGGGGCACATGGCTAAAAGCCTTCAGTTCCTTTTCTTGTACCAGCCAACTGCTATGTTGGTTAGTTGGTGCTTCGATTGCCCTGGGTTTGACCTCAGATCATTATTGGCTCTTGTCTCTTGTGTTGCCTTTAGACTGTTCCTGGAACCTGCCTTTTTGGACGGTGACCTCACCTGGCCTTTCGGGTTGCCTGTGTATGTGGATTTGGAACTGCTGGCTTGGTTGTAAGTCACTTGAGGTTGCCCTGGGCAAGATGAAGCGACTAATTAATTAATTAATTAATTAATGTACTATCTGAAGCAGGGCTGCTATATACAACTTGGTTACTGTCCAATTCAATGGGAAATGTATGAGCATGGATTCTATGTGTTCCAGTGGGACTTATGAAGGGGACTTTACCATCAGCTCATACCCAAGAAATATTTATTATACAGTGGTACCTCAGGTTACATACACTTCAGGTTGCATATGCTTCAGGTTACAGACTCCACTAACCCAGAAATAGTGCTTCAGGTTAAGAACTTTGCTTCAGGATGAGAACAGAAATCATGCTCTGGCGCACGGTGGCAGCAGGAGGCCCCATTAGCTAAAGTGGTGCTTCAGGTTAAGAACAGTTTCAGGTTAAGAACGGACCTCCGGAACGATTTAAGTACTTAACCTGAGGTACCCCTGTATATATGTATATGAAGTGAATAGGGATGCGGGTGGCGTTGTGGTCTAAACCACAAAGCCTAGGACTTGCCGATCAGAAGGTTGGCGGTTCAAATCCCCGTGACGGGATGAGCTCGCATTGCTCGGTCCCTGCTCCTGCCAACCTAGCAGGTCGAAAGCACATCAAAGTGCAAGTAGATAAATAGGTACCGTTCTGGTGGGAAGGTAAACGGCATTTCCATGCGCTGCTCTGGTTCACCAGAAGTGGCTTAGTCATGCTGGCCACATGACCTGGAAGCTGTACGCTGGCTCCCTCAGCCAATAAAGCGAGATGAGCGCCGCAACCCCAGTCAGCCACAACTGGACCTAATGGTCAGGGGTCCCTTTACCTTTACTATATGAAGTGAATATACATAATTTCTTTTATTCATACAAATTATAATGAAAGATTTTTAGATGATGGCTTCAGCTGCAACTGCTTACTAAAACATAGACAAAATTAGCCATTTGCATGTAATTTTAATTGTTGCTAATAAAATCTCAATAGGTTTTTCCTTGTTTAACTTAAATCAGAATTGATTCTGGCATGTCATTTCCACAAACTAGGGACTTAATCCAGTAAAAATCAGGCTGTTCTATTAAAATCCATGAAACCCAAATTAGGCATACTTAAACTGGCCAACTCCTTTTAAAGCAATTTAGCTGTGACCTTTATACTGTAGTAGTGTATTATTTGAATGCAGTTTTTCTGAAGAACAACCTTTTTATTAAAAAAAGCCACACAATTTTTTTACTGGAATTTTCAATACAGGAGAAAACTGGCATATATGGCAACAGGCCATCAAAAAAGTAAAAAACAGATTAAATACATTGAAATAAAGCACATATAAGGAATAACAGAAAAGGAATACAGTATATGCAAAATAAAATAATAAGGAGTTTACATTGTCCTAATTATGCCAAGCAAATCATTTGATTTAGTAAATTGAATTACAACTTTTGCAACTTCCCCATCGGGTTCTTCATTTGTGGACGTGATCCCTGAATTGTATGTCCAGCACTAGACTAAATCATAGTCCCAATTTCTGCTCCGAGGGCTTTGGCATGCTGAAGTAACATTATTATTGTGAACAATGTTCATTCACTGTTCATTCAATTCCCCACCCCCCACCTCCAACCTTCCCCCAATTTTCCTTGTTTGGACTTGGGGGCTTCACAGCTCCCAGCCCCATTCACAGTTTCCGAGTTTTTCACATTTTTTCACATTCACTTCTGCACCCAATCACCCTGCCTATAAGAGACTAGTTGTAGGCATGCTACGGGGGGGGGGGGCTTTTTCCTTTTGCCTTGAGGTCATGGTCACCAGTGGAGAAGCCAATCTCCCCAATACTTTTGTGTTCCATTGCTATGCCAAAGATAGAGGTAATCTACAGAGGAAGCTCAGAGCATACTCAACTGTCCCTTATTCCTCAATTCTATGGATTTGCCCCATATCCATGAAGAAACTGCACCTACCATGTCTAATGCTGACCCTTCTGGTTTCTCCTTTCTGTGCTGCTTCATATGTGGATAGGCATGAGTATTAAACACCTCCTTCCTCCCCACAGCCTTCTTGTGCCAGGCAAACACTTCCTCTAAAGCAGACTGAAGCTGATTGCATCCTTTTCCTATTGCCTGCTTTCACTGTGCTGTCCTGTCACAACCACATGCGTTAACTCCTTGTCAGCTGTTGGTTTGGGCATGTAGCAGTGCCCTTCTTGGATGCTGGGATACGGCAACAAAAATAGTAGTGCCACAGCAGAAGCAGCAAGAAACTGGAAGTAGAAAGGGGCATCTATTTCAGGTGGCAAGATGGAATCTCCCCCCCCCCCCGCCCCAAAAGCAAATGTACTTGCTAGTAGAGTGGGCACCATCCAAAATCAGATTTGGGGTGAAATATATGTGTTGAAATCAGCTTCCCCCCCCCCAAGAAAAATAGGTGCTGCTACACAACCATGCCTCTACCACCACCCCACTGCCACTTGCCCACCCATCCACTCACACTTTTGCTGCTTCCTCCATCATTGCTGCTGCTTCCTGTGGCTCTAGGCATGGCCTCCCGGAGGTGCTTTGTTGTGACCGTTTTTACAATCGCCATATTGCCTTCCAGGAAGGTGCCTGATAATTGTAAATAGGTGTAGTGGTTCTAAGGGGTTGCTCATGCGTAAGCCAGTGCAAACACCTGGCTGGGTTGCCTGAGTGAACCTTTTCGGTCCGGACAGCCACTCACCCATGGCTGTCTCAATCGCTGGCAGAATCCGTCAGTGGGCGTTTCTTAAACTATTTCCAGCAAAGAAGCTCTTTGACGCCTAGTCTCCTCCTACTCTCTCTGCACAAAAGCCTTCTGCGCAAGGAGGGTGTAGGCAGCGGAGGACCCCTACTCTCCCCGCTGGTCCCCGGCAAGGAGTCATGGGCCGCCTCGCCGCTTCCCCCATCTGCCCCCCTTCTCCACTGGTGCTACGCTGATTCTCTTCCCCAGAAGATGGGCTGCCTCTCCCAATCCCGGGACGCTCTCTGGAATCCCTCTGGATTTTGCTCTCTCCCTCCGGCACTGATGGCAGTTCCCTGACAATAGGTCATGCCAAAGTGCCTCTGTTCTGGTGGGTAAAAAGGTAAAGGGACCCCTGATAATTAAGTCCAGTAGCAAACGACTCTAGGGTTGCGGCGCTCATCTCGCTTTACTGGCTGAGGGAGCCGACATTAGTCTGCAGACAGTTTTTCTGGGTCATGTGGCCAGCATAACTAAGCCACTTCTGGCAAAACCAGAGCAGTGCACGGAAACGCCGTTTACCTTCCCGCCGGAACGGTACCTATTTATCTATTTGCACTTTGACATGTTTTCGAACTGCTTGGTTGGCAGGAGCTGGGACTGAACAACGGGAGCTCACCCTGTTGCGGGGATTCAAACCGCTGACCTTCTGATCGGCAAGCCCTAGGGTCAGTGGTTTAGACCACAGCGCCATCCGTGTCCTGTGTTCTGGTGGGACCTTTTTACCATAGTCAGGCACCTTCTTGGAAGGCAATTTGGCAATTGTAAGGGTAGTGCAAAGCGCCTCCAGGAGGCCGTGCCTGCAGCCATGGGAAGTGGCAGAGGAAGCGGCAAAGGTGCAGGTGGGGAGGGAGGGAGGGAGGGAGTGGGTGGGTGGGCGGGCAAGAGACAGTGGTGGCAAGATGGTGGTGGTGAGGAAAGAGATGGTGGTGCAGCGTACTAGTGTGTACTGCCTCAAAAAAAAGCACTTCTTTAAATGGAGCATGAAAAGATACATGTGCCTGCATTGCTTCAGACAATTTTGTCTGCTCCCTTTTGTGCTGCAACCTGTATCTTTTCTGCCACCTTAATACTGGTTCCACAGGAGGGTGAGTGCCACCAGCACTATACCAGTGGAACACAGCACAAACACCCTCCAGTGTCCAGAGAAAACCTCTTAATTCCATTTTTATTTTATTCTTTGGTAGACTTATAAAAAGGAAAAAAACACACCAATAAATAAATTTTTGAAAGGGGAAATGTTAGACATGGAGGCATAAAGCGTTAAAAAAGAAAGAAATCAAGCCTCCTTGCTCTCTCCTTTTCTTCCTGCCCAGGGCAGGCCTGCCCTCTGCCTCCTACTCACCTGCTGCTCTCCAGCGGCTGCTATGAGCCTCTCAGCAACAGCAGCTGTGGAGAGAGCGTGGCGAGGCAACGGGGTGCTCCCTCGCAGCCGCTCCCGCCGCTGCCACTCGGGACCAGCACCAGCTCCTCCTCCTCCCTGAGCTCAGTGGTGGCAGCACTTGCAGGGGACATTCTGGGAAGAATTCAGAAGCCAGGGTGGCTTTTTTAATTCCAGGACTGTCCCTGGAGAGTCATGACACTTGGGGGGCATGATGTCATATGCTACGAAAGAAGGCCCAAGGAACCCACCTCCTGGAGTCTCCCCAGCCTGGACACCAGATATGTGGCTGCATTAAACCGAGTCTAAAACAAACCACACCACATTTATACACAGCATCTGGGTTGCATGGATGTTTACCATGGCACATTTATTAATGCGGAGATGCATGCCCTAAACAATTTAGGAGGGGCAGAGGAATGAGCTGGGGAACTGCAGGAAGTTACATGTCCCTGGTGCATGTCCACTGCATATTTGGAGAGTCATATACAGTGGTACCTCAGGTTAAGTACTTAATTCATTCTGGAGGTCTGTTCTTAACCTGAAACTGTTCTTAACCTGAAGCACCACTTTAGCTAAATGGCCTTCCGCTGCTGCCGGAGCACGATTTCTGTTCTCATCCTGAAGCAAAGTTCTTAACCTGAAGCACTATTTCTGGGTTAGCGGAGTCTGTAACCTGAAGCGTATGTAACCTGAGCGTATGTAACCCGAGGTACCACTGTATTTCTCTGATGCATTTGCTCTCAAGGTGGAGGGAACTGTTTTCTGTGGAGAAGTATTTGGTCATCTGAGCTCTGCTGTCATTACACTCAGGTTTACTACAGCAGCGAGAATGAAGCATGAGTCTTCCTGGCTTTTTCTTTTTACTTGGATGGCTTTTCCTATATGTGTCTTTGATTTAATCCACTCCCCCCAAATTTACGCTGCTCGTTCCAATGACAACAAAAGAAACACAAACTTCAGCTCTCGTTTCCAAAACACTCGTCCCGTCATAGATAGGTCCACCAGCAAACAAAAGGAGGAAGCTCCTTTTCAATCCAGGAGTCCAGAAATGTAAGCAGGCCTTGTGGCAGATTGAATCCAAGCAAATTAAGAGAGAAAATATATACAGTGGTGCCCCGCAAGACGAATGCCTCGCAAGACGGAAAACCCGCTAGACGAAAGGGTTTTCCGTTTTGGAGGTGCTCCATAAAGCAATTTCCTATGTGCTTGCTTCGCAAGACGAAAATGTCTTGCGAGTTCCTGCAGGGTTTTTTTCCTTCCCCCCCCTTTTTCCCAAGCTGCTAAACCGCTTATCAGCTGATGGCTAAGCCGCTTATCAGCTGATCTTTAAGCCGCTTAACAGCTGATGCTAAGCCGCTTATCAGCTGATCTTTAAGCCGCTTAACAGCTGATACTAAGCCGCTTATCAGCTAATACTGTAGCGCTAAGCGCTAAACCTCTAATGGGCTTGCTTCGCAAGACGAAAAAATCCGCAAGACGAAGAGACTCGCGGAACGGATTCTTTTCGTCTTGCGAGGCACCACTGTAATGGTTACTACATGTTTCCAAGTAAGCTACAATAAGGACCAGCAGGGGCATTAAAAACAACCAGAAAACAGCACAAACATGTTCCCATATAACTAGTTACCTTAGCAGAACAAGTTGTGCCTCTTCACCTGAACTAATGGCTGGCTATTTCAGGGCTCCCCATTTTAGCAGATTCTTCATTTAATCTCTTCTCTTTCTTTCTCTCTCTTTATAAACCTTATTTAAACAATAAAAACCAGTGGTTGCATTATTTCAGGGGTCTGAGGGTGAGTGCTCATTTGCTGATAAACCCAAATAATGCTCACATTTTCAGTTAAGTACTGTACTCACTTTTGGTAATCAGTCTACTGTGGTGTGTCTACTTCTCCAATAAAACAATTCCCCATGCTCTGCTGACTCAGTTTGCAACCTACAAGAAGCTTTTGGCCTCTTTATGGCCTCTGACATTCTTAAGGCCCATTCCATTCTAGACAAAAGTGCTAGAACTGGGTCAGGGCAATGATAGTTAGAAACAGTGCCTGAAATTATCCCCAAATCCTCTGTCCAGAAAGTCTGGACTTTGGGGCATTCTGATCACAAAAGTAATAGGATTCCAAACATGCCAACATTGGGAAGACTATTGCTAGTTCATCCTGTGAAATCTCTGGGATTTATAGTACAAATGGTGCACCAATTTAAATGTGGCTCTTTACTTTTGCCAAGGTTGTCTTCTGCCAAAGACTCTCTTCCAGTTGTTGGCTTCTATTGTGCATTTAATATCTGCTTCCCATGGGGTCCAACATTTTTGTTATTTTTGCTTTCCTTTGTGACTCTGGGATCACCCATCCTCTATTGATGCTATTATACAAGCCTTCCCCAACTCTGCTCCTCCCATGCCCTCCAAACTGGTTCAAGGAAGAGGTTGGTGAACCCTTGGAACAGGAAGGCTGGGGGGAGGGGGGTGCAGATCATTCTATCAGACAAGCAGAAATACTTGTGTTGACAGAGCAATCTGTCACTGAATTCCTCCCTAATAAAACAGCTAAACAGAATTCCACAATCTGGGAGCCACCACATAAAAGGCCCTATCTCTCATGATGACCAACTGGGTTGATTTCACAAGTTGATAGAAAGCAAGGCCTCTGAGGCACATCTTAATTCTTGGGAAGTTTTGTATGGGATCAAGTAGACTTTCAAGTAACTCTATCCCAAACTATACTAGATAATACTAAGATATGGAAAGAAGCCAGCAATATTGAAAACATTTAATAGTGTATATTAGTGGATGAATATATATTACTTTATTTTTAGATGAGGCATGCTTTTAACTGACTAATAAGTGAATACTACCGCTAAGAAAAAAATTAGGTAGTATTTGACACATAAAAGATTACATTGTATATAATTATATCCAGGAGCAGAATACAGATTTTGGAAGTTCAGATATGTGAGGACAGATATAGCACACGTTTTCTGGGAAAGTGTTTTGGAAAATATTAATGAAATGACGGGATATAATTTAACCTATGACCTGCTTG